AATATATGCTCGATTATCCCGATGTCGTGTTGGCGAGGTGTCAATTACACACATAATTAAAGTTATTCTTTCGTCAGGAACATTCGCCACATGTGACTTAGGTCTGAATGATACGTATCATGAAAAAAGTTAAATCTATGATTGTTATTATTTTACCATGCTGAAAATTGTATGAATTCCTCGTTTGACACTCACCTGATTTCTGCCCCACCTTGGGTCCCTGACAATGTTGATGACAGGACTGAAGCAGCTTACTCCCATGTGTTTCCCATGAAGGCCATTTCTACTGTAGTTGTTGTACTTAGCCCTGACTTCTACCCCAGTTGCCTCCCCTATTTGGAACACCAAACGGGGGCTGAAACAGCGAAGAAGCAAGACGTTTAAGGCAACTTATATTTACTTGTACCAAAAGAGTCATCACTAGTTTCAGAAATTTAGTAATAACTATTTAATATTGAAGGATTTTAAGATTTGGGGGGCGGATATTGGGATGGGGTGGAGAGTTGTTGTGAGGAGATGTGTGTGACACCCTCTAAATTGTCAGACAGCTTATGACAGCTTCATTTCTGGTTGAGTGCACAGCAAAACTACTGCATCTTACCTCCTACTGAAAGTGTAGAAAGTCATCAAAACAACACAATCTTATTGTAGCCTAATTCATAATCCTACTCAGAGGCAAACCTTCGGCCTTACAAAATATGTTCAAGACAGTTTCTGTTCAGATGAGTGTACTGTGATTATACGAGTATCTTACTGCTTAGAGTAAATAACATTGAGGGTGTGCATAAATAATGATTTCCATGATTGATGTTTGGATAGTACATCTGTATCTTCAGCTTTGGATGTAAAAAAGAAAATTTATTTATCTTTTATGATCAAAATGTTTCTTCATGAGTAGAGCAGACTAATTATGACCGTCCTTTTCTACCTATGGGTATCGTCTTAACTCCACTGTCTACCTACTACCTGTCTCACAAGTTGAGATGTCCATGTGACTGCTTGTGCGTGTGCGTGTGCGTGTGCGTGTGCGTGTGCGTGTGCTTGTGCGTGTGCGTGAAATGGGTTGTCTGGTTTATGGCTTCTGCTTCAAGTCACACATAACATTTCTTTCTCTGGTTTGTCACTCATTTAATATTATGTTGAACTTGGTACGTCCAATAACTTGAACATTTTATGTCATTCTGTGGTTACATGTGCATGTTGAAGCACCATCAATCCTAGTTTTACTTTCTCTTTCCAACAAATGTCTGCTGAAAGAATTTGATTCACATCTATCTGTTATTGCCCGGAAACAGTCCAAATTCAGTCCGACTACAAATTAAATTTGATCTGAATCCTGAATTCAGAAACAAATCAATCTGGTCTTTACCTGGTCATGGGAGCTTCACCTGTATCAGAGACTGGCGAGAGTTACCTAATCTGTCTCTGATGTTGTACATCACATCTTTGTCTGAGAGGTTATCGAGTCACAAGAAGCAACAAATGCCAACAGTAAGGTGAGTGGACAACTAGCAGTACATACTGGCAAAAAGAGCTGAACACATTGAGGTTTTGGATAAGGGGGACGTTCATAATAATGAGGGGATCGTGGGTCGCTTTGATTTAATCTATAAACAACCAAGTGATTAAAACAATATTACCACAAGGATTTTTCAAAACGTCAACGCCAGAGACTAATCAATCTTGAATATATTCGAACAGATTCCATTGGCCGTTAAGTATATTACAGAAATGGATGGCATAAATCCGTGATCACGCCAGGTGTTTAATAAAGTGGTATACTGCTCTACCCTTAGCACGTCAGGTTAAACTCAGACTATACCAATTATAGACATTGTTCTGATTTCTAAATCTCTCAAAAAATGTCAACACACTCATTCAAAAAATGTTCTTGTGTTAAAACCAAATTACACGTACCTAAAGGAAGCAGCAAGACCCAGAGCCTGGGGAAATCCTGTAGCGTTGCCTGCCCCAACATCACCTCTCAGGCATTCCGTGTTCCAAGAGTATGGCTTGATACCCAGTCGGGGGATAGGAGGGGTGCCATTAGTACCCGCTCCACCCCTCGCCATCTGATGCTGGATCTCATCTATGGAGAGACGACTGACTAGATCATCCACCCTGTCGCTCCAGGACAGTGATGTGTTTCTGAAGGGGAAGTCTGCCAGCCCCTGGATCAGGACCATACATAGGATACAAGCAAGGACTGTCAACGAACCTACTGCCATGGTGTAAGCTGCAACTAATATAAGCTTTGTTCCAGCAGACGCGTTTACGGTCTATATTTTCAACCTGCTGATATGGATTTAGGGAGATGCTTACTCAATCTATTATATTATCATAGATTGTCTGACACTGATTTGTGATATACATGTATGAATATTGACCTTGGGTTTTTATAATCAAGTGTGTCAGGGACAAGACATGTAGTCATACGGTGTACTTTGAAGATATGAAACGGCATTTGACTTATTGTTCGAGTAAAAACACGAATGACTCAGGACATAGAACGTCATGTTACCATTTTTGTAAAAGTGTTAACACGGGTATGCTGCTGCCATGCACGTTGATCCACACAGCGTAGTAACGTCAGAGTAAGAACTAATTTGAAAATCATTTGCTGGCATATGTTTGAAATATAGTTTGGCATATAAATATTGTATGATAAATCAACAGTGAGGTGTTTCTGAAGGGGGAGTCTGCTAGCCCCTGGACCAGGGCCATATACTTGATACAAGGAAGGACGTTCCACGCACCTGCATTCATAGTATCAGCGACTACTGCCCAAATGCTGTCCTGTGGTAGATGTTAAAGCAACGTGTGTTATAATAGGTCGTCTCTGAAACTGTTCCGTAAATGGTCATTGGACGGAAAATTGGTGAGCGTCCAGAAAGTTTCCGGAAAAGCGTCGAGATCCTAGAAGGGATATTGCGTTGTCGCATTGTCGCCCTCACAAAAACAAGCATTTGACGTATTGTCGTTTGTTGCACTTTAAACATTATTTTGTTATTTACCAAAGGGCAACAATACCGTAACGCAACATTTTTCAAGGTCAAAATATGTCGCGTTGTTGCACAGTGCCCCATCAAAGATGTGTAAACGCCACGACGTGACAATGCGACATTATTTGAAAACCCGAACTCACTCACTCGCTCAAATCGATGAATTCGCTGTGCAGAATTCGTCCATCAGAACCCTATGATCGAAAGATTCGAATTTCCGGTTCGTGCTGATTATGTTTCTGACATCACTTCCGACTTTCCTCCCACATCAAACTGACATGCCGTAACATGACTTAATCACTGTGTACAGTGGCGTCAAACAATACTCACTCACTCATGATATCCCCTCTTGACGAAACCATGCTTAGAGAGCTTGGTAAATTAGGAACAAGATTGTTTTGCGATTGATATATTTGAATCATTTATTAATCCTAGGGATGTAACTATTCAGCACTTCATCGATGAATCGCAAATATTATCAAACCATACGATACGCAATACACACTCAACTGTATCAATTTATATCTTAATCAAGTATAGTTTCACGCATGGAGCTATTCGTCCATACATAGTTTATTAATTCCGGGTGCGCATCTGAGGTATTACAGGTGGTTTGTTATTATATTTAAAAATAAAACAAATTATTTATTTTGCCACTCCAGCTTTAACTAAAATAAGTCATTTTTATTTCGAATAGGAGACCAGATATTCAAGGAAGTTTCAAGCCTTCTTAATAGTGTTAGTAGCCTATGAAATATTTAAAATTTCGTAAAATTGACACGAATTATGATACCGCCGATACGTATGGTATGGTATGGTATCATGAACAAAGTATCGCGTTAAGTATCGTATCGGGAGGAAGTCAATCCTGCTTCATACAACCGATCGCGACGACCCTTTAACTCACAGACTTAGCTCCTTTGTGGACGAATGAATGCACATTTGTAATTGTTGTGACTGAGTTTGATCATGTGCGTGTTAATCTATTAATCATACATCATGTTAATTTTGTTATTTTTTCAAAATGAGTCGTGACTCATGAAAGCGCAACAACGCGACATTTTGATGAAATGTCGCTATGTCGCATTGTCGCTCTTTGTTAAAATATTAAAATATTCAGTCATTATTACAATCACGACAACGTGACATTCAGGTGAAATGTTGCATTGTCACACTTTGTTAAAATATGAAAATATGCAGTTATTATTACAAGCGCGACAATGCGCATCGATACCATCTTCACTATCGGGACAACATTCTGACACCCTTTGTTGACCCATTTGCAAGGTGTGTGGGTCGACGCTTTGTCTTTCAGGACGATACCGCCGTGCTTACCGTGCTCAGATCGTCAATGTTCACCTCCAGCAGCGCAACATCCATAAAATGAACCAAGACCCTTCCCCAATTGAACAAGTCTGGGCCTTGATAGAGAAACGTGTGCGATAGGGAGACGACTCCCTCAAAACGCCATTGGGAGATTCATACGCAGTCGTGTGAATGAATGTTTGACAAATCCTTGCGGTAGTACGTAAAAACTACTGATCGAAACACGTCAATTATGAAATTTCCCATCTTACCTCAATCGTCCTTCAAGATCGTTGGCGGTCATCTGCTGTCGTACTTCACTACCGGCTGTAATGTGTTCCTAATTCGTTCATTATAATCAAGGGGCGGTCGGGTAGCCTAGTGGTTAAAGCGTTCGCTCGTCACGCCGAAGACCCGGGTTCGATTCCCGACATAGGTACAATGTGTGAAGCCCTTTTCCGGTGTCCCCCGCTTGGAATATTGCTAAAAGCGGCGTAAACTCACTCACTCATTATAATCAGGAAGTTTTTACTCGGAACTAATATATCTTATTTTAGGAATGTGAAGTTTTTCCCGAGCATCCACTATAGTTTTCTTAAAAGTTTATGTACATGTAAATCCCTTTATCAGTGTCGGACGATCTGTGATAACGTAATAGGTTGCATAAGCACAGCAGGTTGAAGATGAAGGCCGTGAACGCGTCTACTAATGCATACATTATATTATATCAGTAGTCGCTGACAACATGGCAGCAGGTGCGTGGACCGCTCTTGTTTGTTTCCTATGTACGGTCCCTATCCAGGGACTGGCAGACTTCCCCTTCAGAAACACCTCACTGTCCTGGAGCGACAGGGTGGATGATCTAGTCAGTCGTCTCTCCATAGATGAGATCCAGCATCAGATGGCGAGGGGTGGAGCGGTTAATGATGGCACCCCTCCTATCCCCCGACTGGGTATCGAGCCATACGTTTGGAACACGGAATGTCTGAGAGGTGATGTGTCGTCAGGCAACGCTACAGGATTTCCCCAGGCTCTGGGTCTTGCTGCCTCCTTTAGGTACATGTGATGTCTTTTTAACAAACAAAAACATTATTTTGAATGAATTTTTACGTGTTTTTTAAAATCTATTTATAAGACAATTCTACCCGTAACGGGTATATCTATTACTAGTAGTGGTTACAGATTAACATGACATGCTGACGGTGGTGCAATACCCTTTTAGTCTATACTTGGTTTCATCACGATTTTTTAGCAAATAGGTTTCTATAATTTACCACTCATTTCCTTTTTAGGCATATCTGTTTCAGGAGAAATTCGAGACGTCTATGGCGTTGACGTTGGAAGATACCCGCAAACAACTTACAAAACATGTCCATACATGTACATATGTCGACCTCGACAATTAGTGTGTGGGTGTTTCCGCCCTGTCAGGAGTCCTCAATCGTTTTCATAAGTCTCAATGCCACAATAATGAATTCCCTTCATGTAGATTAATACGTCCTGAGACTCTTTGAAAACACATATTCGGTTCTTTGTAATAATTTGGTAAAATGGCAACACAAATCACAGTAGGTTGGTCTGGGTATTTAGGCATGCGATAATGCGTCGCCCGGTTTCGAATCATTCGATGTGTTTGGAGGTAGACTTGAACACAAAAACACTTAATTCTGATTTAGAGTTAAAGCTGATTATGCGATTTCGTTGTGTTCCAGTAAGTCTTATCTGCACAAAAAACAAACATGTCTCTGTGGTATGTGGATTCTGTTTCATAAGATAAGCGTCTGACACTTGCTAATTCTAGGAAAATAGATAAGGTGAAAGCGTTGTAACCTTAAATAGATGCCATGCTCTGGTAACCTCAAAATATAAAGTACAGGGTCTTACATGTAAATTGAGAAAGGATCTCTTCTCTCATTTAATTCCGGCACTGTCGTATCTGTAAATTATTCATAAGATCCAGACAAGTCCTTGTGGCACTGTCGTATATGTAAATTATTCATAAGATCTAGACAAGTCCTTGTGGCAACGTCGTATATGTAAATTATTTTTAAGATCCAGACAAGTCCTTGTGGCACTGTCGTATATGTAAATTATTCATAAGATCCAGACAAGTCCTTGTGGCACTGTCGTATATGTAAATTATTCATAAGATCCAGACAAGTCCTTGTGGCACTGTCGTATATGTAAATTATTCATAAGATCCAGACAAGTCCTTGTGGCACTGTCGTATATGTAAATTATTCATAAGATCCAGACAAGTCCTTGTGGCACTGTCGTATATGTAAATTATTCATAAGATCTAGACAAATCCTTGTGGTAATTTGTTTTAATAATTGGTTGTCTAAAATATTCTAAGCCAGTCTGAGTCCCCTCGAGCTCGTACTTCTGAACGTGTCCTTTACCCAAAACCTCAGTGTTCATACTACCAGTATGACTGCCACTTGTACTTAATTTCTGAAACGGATGATGACTCTTTTGGTAAAAGGGATTAAAAGTTGTCCTCAGCGTCTTGCTTCTTCAATGTTTCAGCCCCCGTTTGGTGTTCCAAATAGGGGAGGCAACTGGGGTAGAAGTCAGGGCTAAGTACAACAACTACAGTAGAAGTGGCCTCCATGGGGAACACATGGGAGTAAGCTGCTTCAGTCCTGTCATCAACATTGTCAGGGACCCCAGGTGGGGCAGAAGTCAGGTAAGTGATAAACGTGGGGTTCCTTTTATTTTGTATACGTTTGAACATTTTCGTAATAAGATCATTTAGACCCCACTCACATGTGACTAATGTTCCATGAAGAAAGTATAACTATGTGAGTTTAAGACACTGACAACTCGTGTACTCGGAATCGTGATAATCAAACATGTGTGTCAACGGAATATTGTCAAGGAGACCTTACCGATACTCCCAGGTGAACGAGGAAAAATACTTTGTCATTTCTGATAAAAAACCTCACAATCCTGCCATAATGATGGAATTGCGAAAGTGAAGAAAAACATCATAAGCTAATAAGATGAACATGAATTAATGCATTCTCTTGAATATGCCACATCCCATGTACAAACTTTCCAAATAAAATCCAAACACAATACATTGTGGAATTTGTACATGTACAAATCAGAATCAATATGAATTTGGAAGTGGCGATTCAAAACTAAATAATCAGTAAAACTTGGCAATGGTTATTTCCACTGACTCGACGCTATTTTCTTAGTGGGTTACATATCGACTTCAACTATTCTTTACAGATCTTACAGGTTGCACGGTTGATCAGTGTTCCATATGCTCAGGAATGCAAAGTTTTAAATCAAATTTGCATTTCCATCAAATATCCAAAGCTTCTAACTATATATCAAATGATGTGATCGATGTTCCAATCACAGATAGTTTTGAGAATTAAGGTTGATTTACACGTGTATATGCCGCTTCACTTGCGGCAACGAGTTTCACAGTGAATATTTTTACACTTGTAATTATTTTATGAAATACGTCTCATAATTTAAATCATTTGCATGTATCTTACAATCTAACATGCCTTGAAAGAGATATTTAACTTTTCAATGTATTTATTTCCCATTAATACCACTGTAACCTTATATTGGCGGGAGTGGCCATTGGGATAACAACGCAGTTATTCGAAATGAATTATTGTGAAACTCCTTTATCAAACCAGTGTAGTCTTCCTCAACACAAAGAGTATAATGAAAGGCAGAATAAATAACGCAGGATTAATGCATATCGTGTGCCCATGAGTCAAGATGGAATTCCTTGAAGTTATTGTGATTTTGATATTTTTGGAACAAAGCCTATTCATTCAGTCATTCATTGCAACAACAGGAAACATATGGAGAAGACCCTTTCCAGAGCGGCGTTCTCGCAGCTACCTTCGTCCAGGGACTACAGGGCAATGACACGCGCTATGTGCGCGCAAACGCTGGATGTAAACACTTCGCAGCTTATGATGGGCCAGAGGATAAACCCATTTCAAGGATGAAGTTCGATGCCAAGGTAAACAAGCCACAGGTAGCATGAGGGTCTGTATCACCTTCCCGTGGAGAAGATTTTGCGGTGTAAATTAACACATGCCCAATTCAAGTCACTAATTTGGTTTGAGCCCATATTAAAATAGATATCCAGTTCTGCAGCTTCCTATCTACAGTTTATTTTACTTGTACGACCAGGTTAGCGAGCGCGACCTTCGAACGACCTTCCTGCCTGCCTTCAGAGCCTGTGTAAAGGCTGGAACATACAGTATCATGTGCAGCTACAATAGGTAAGTCAACCAGGAATATGCAGTGTCATGTGTAGCTACAATAGGTAAGTCAACCAGGAATATGCAGTGTCATATGAGGTGCAATGTGTAGGTCAGGATGGAAAATACAGAGGCATGTGTAGCTACAATATGTAATCCAAGCAGGAACATATCTAGAATATGTAAGTCAGGATGGGACATAGTGTCACGTTTAGCTACAATAGTCAAGTCAAGATGGAACATACAGTATCACGTGCAGCTACAACAGGTAAGTCAACCAGGAATATGCAGTCTGAGATGCAATATGTAGGTCAGGATGGAACATACAGAGGCATGTGTAGCTACATTATGTAGGTCAGGATGGAACATACAGAGGCATGTGTCGCTACATTATGTAGGTCAGGATGGAACATACAGAGGCATGTGTAGCTATAATAGGTGAGTCAAGAAGGTACACACAGAGGCATGTGTAGCTATAATAGGTGAGTCAAGAAGGAACATACAGAGGCATGTGTAGCTATAATAGGTAATTGAAGAATGAACATACAGAGGCATGTGTAGCTACAATAGGTAATCGAAGAAGGAACATACAGAGGCATGTGTAGCTACATTATGTAGGTCAGGATGGAACATACAGAGGCATGTGTAGCTACATTATGTAGGTCAGGATGGAACATACAGAGGCATGTGTAGCTACATTATGTAGGTCAGGATGGAACATACAGAGGCATGTGTAGCTACATTATGTAGGTCAGGATGGAACATACAGAGGCATGTGTAGCTACAATAGGTAAGTTCAAAAGGAACATACAGAGGCATGTGTAGCTATAATAGGTGAGTCAAGAAGGAACATACAGAGGCATGTGTAGCTATAATAGGTGAGTCAAGAAGGAACATACAGAGGCATGTGTAGCTATCATAGGTGAGTCAAGAAGGAACATTCAGAGGCATGTGTAGCTATCATAGGTAAGTGAAGAAGGAACATACAGAGGCATGTGTAGCTATAATAGGTAATTCAAGAAGGAACATACAGAGGCATGTGTAGCTACAATAGGTAATTGAAGAAGGAACATACAGAGGCATGTGAAGCTATAATAGGTGATTCAAGAAGGAACACACAGAGGCATGTTTAGCTACAATAGGTAGGTGAAGAAGGAACATACAGAGGCATGTGTAGCTATAATAGGTAATTCAAGAAGGAACATACAGAGGCATGTGTAGCTACAATAGGTAAGTTAAGAAGGAACATACAGAGGCATGTGTCGCTACAATAGGTAAGTCAAGAAGGAAAATACAGAGGCATGTGTAGCTATAATAGGTGAGTCAAGAAGGAACGTACAGAGGCATGTGTAGCTATAATAGGTGAGTCATGAAGTAACATACAGAGGCATGTGTAGCTTTAATGGGTAAGCGAAGAAGGAACATACAGAGGCATGTGTCGCTACAATAGGTAAGCATACCTATGTTTTCGTACAATGTACTAGTACCGAATCTGTCGCGTTAACCTCATGACCAGAAAGGAAAAGAGGAAACAAGTTTACTTCTTTACCATGTATTGAAACTCTGAACACATGGGTGTGTTCTCGTTAAGAACTTATAATTATATGAAGAGAGAAATGAGTCATTTCCTGAATTCGACACTTAAAAATGAATTACTTTTTATGGTATGCAGGAATCGTAGAATTCTTTATCAATTTTCGCGGTGATGGTGATACGACTGCAGTTACATTATACGTTCTGGTAATATGTCCATGCCATTCACACAGCATAAACGGCGTACCGACGTGTGCCAGTAAACAGCTCTTGAACGACATTCTGCGAGAGGAGTGGGGTTTCAAAGGTTACGTCGTGAGCGACGGGGGCGCCATAGAGAACATTCTACGTGGTCACCACTACGCCGATAACTATGTGGACATCGCCTCCGACTGTGTGAACGCTGGATGCAACTTGGAATTGAATCAAAGAAAAGAGCAAAACCTAACATACTTCTCAATAGGTAATACCATAGAAACATCATTACAATACTTAATATATGTTTATTGTGTATGGATATTTGTTAATCGTGCATGAAATGTGTACACACATGAAGGATTGCATTTCTATAGAAAGACTCACAGTCACAAAGACTAGTTGGCTGTAGTTAAAAATAACGCATACTAAGAGCAATTATTCCAATTATTCCTGCATGGTAGTTTTAATCTGGCACGTTTTATTTTACAATGACCCTTGCTCACGCTGGTACATTTTCTTTTGACAAATTATACATTTTATATATTAAGCTTTCCTTATTGTTTTACTTGCTACACAATCATAAATTTGTGAGAGAAAAGATTTCCCGATTTGATTGTCGAGTATCTTAAAGAGTGTCCGATGTTATCAAATAGCTCCTTCAACTAACTGTCTTATTATCATATCGAATTATAACATATGTAATACTTTTAGTCGATGCAATAAATCAAGGCAAGCTTACAGAGGAGAAAGTCAGAGAAAGCGTCAAACCCTTGTTCTACACCCGAATGAGGTTGGGCGAGTTTGATCCTCCAGAAATGAACCCCTATTCCAAACTTGACCTCTCTGTGATTGAAAGCGAGGCTCACCAGATGCTTGCAATCGAGGCAGCCATGGAGACCTTTGTTTTACTGAAGAACGAAGGAGACATGTTGCCACTGAAGAAAGACACCTTCGACAGGATTGCTGTGAGTATAACAAAAGTTCTATTATATTTTGTTGACAATCTACATGAAGGAACAATTATACCATGAACTTTGAAAATACTCGATTTAATTGGTCAATGAATTCGAAACACATTTACCGCCTCTGATTGAAGCCGATAATATATATAATGATATATATTCTTCTCAATCATTGTTGGTCGGTTAATGTAGAGTTGCGGTTACTTCACATTTCACAGTATGTGTGACAATGTTTTTTGGGGCAGTTAAAACGATGGAAATCGACAGTGTATTTCAGGTTTTAGCTTGAGATAGCTTGAAATCTTGGTCTACCTAAAAATTCAAAGAACGTTATACGATTCTTGCTCAGAAGCTGTTTCAAGGTTACAACATTCAATGCCTCAGTAAAGATTTCGAAAAGTATTATAGTGGACATGTGGACGACATTTCCAAATTTGACGCCTCAGTGACAAGAACGATTAAATGACAAGAGAGATGACTTCAACTTTCCAATAGTCAACTTTCCCTTTATGTCGAGCAATATTCCAACAGCTCCAATCCTTGGTGGTACAACGGAGCATGCTCTTTCTACCAAGATTTCAAAAAGCGTCATACGACTCTTGCTCAGAAGCTATGTCATCAATGTTGCAACATTCATGGCTTCAGTAAAGCTTTTAAAACGTTTAATGGCAGAAGGACGACATTTCCAAATTTGACCTATCAGAAACAGCAATGATGTCCTATGCAATATGTTCCCGTGTTAAGGTGAACAATTGGCTTGCCTTTGCATGTGTTTGTGACGGGTACAACCTATTGGGCAGGATACACTCATCATTTCGGGAACACCTGCTATCATTACTATTTGTTAGTGATTCATGAACACATGCTCATGAACCGTAGTCGGAATCGTACAATCGACATTGCTATTGGCAGATATTTCTTATGAATATGGAAAGGGGTTTGTCGCTTTTATTTATCTGACTGTTATGTCATATCGTTTGCGTCACAATAAACGATGTGACGTCATAATAATGATTTACGGAACTAAACTGAACCCAGCAAGGTTTACATGAACCTTATTCACCTTAATGGTGTCCACTTCATGTTGGCTTATCATGCAGATGTGCTACATGCTTTCAATCCCCGTCTTGTATGTGGGTAAAGCATAATGATGTAAACATGTTTGAGTTTATAAAGCTACATGATGTAGTCTATTGTCGGTTTCCTTAGTTCAGGTCGACAACACAGCTCAAATCACGGGACCTACCCAATGACCATCTTCTTTCAATCCACAAATTTTGAAAATGCTGATTCAGGACATATTATGTTTAAATGTAAAGGGCAAAACACAAGACTTGCGATTTACTAAATGCAAATAGAAATGCATTATAGAAGCATCAACACACCATCCATAATCACGAGACGTCTCTGCTAGAAGCTGAGTCCATTCTGATTCCGCTGGTAACATATTTCTTCCTAGATTGTTGGACCCATGGCCAATAATTCTGAGCTGTTGTTTGGGAACTATGCACCTGAGACATTCCACACCTTTGTCAAAACTCCTCTGCAAGGACTAGCTAAACTGGGGCAATCTGTCAACTACGCAGCCGGCTGTGACGACAACTTTTGTAAACATTATGACAACGCATCAATCAAGAAGGCAGTTGCCATGACAGAAGTTATATTTGTATGTCTTGGAACAGGTAATTCGGATAACCATAAATCCAACACATTTGGCAAGACAATTTGTTTCTTTTTTAAATAGTCTCACACATGTTAAAAACTAAGTTATTTCAGTAAAGATTTACGTCGTTATTTCAGACTTAAGGCGACAAAATCGTACTCGTTTACTTTACAAGAAGAGGGCCAGTGGGGTAGCCTAGAGGTTAAAGCGTTAGCTCGTCACGCCGAAGACCAAGCCTCGACTCCCCACATGGGTCACCCGCCGTGATATTGCTGGAATATTGCTACAAGCGGCGTAAACCCACACTCACTCACTCACTCAGAAGTGGAATACGAGTACTGGCCAAAAAGGTTCTAACCCTAACAAACAAAACCAACAATTGTACAAGTGTTCTTAATTTTCTTTTCAACATAATCTCCCTACTTTTCAATCCACTTCTCATATCGAAAGTCAATCTTCAATGATGGAAGTTGAGGGACGTCCAGACCAAGGATCATCATCAAAGCTTGTTCTCCAAGCCTTACACATAGCGCCGAACGGTTTAAGTGGAATAGCTAGGGCTCTTATCCCCATATACTTGTGACATGCGGTCATTAACTGGCTGTCACTGATTTACAAATGGCCTCAACAGACCAAATACAATGGCAATAAACTACTCAAACAATGTACAACATTGACTAGTTGTTTTGGCCCATAGTTGAAAGTCAGTCAGGCTTAGACCGTTTTGACCAGCCCTCGTATATCCATCATTTAGTTTGTATCCACTCCTGTCAACTTGTCCTTATGCGTATTTCAGGGCGGACGATTGAATCCGAGGGCAACGATCGCTATGACATCAACCTCCCCGGTTATCAACTTCAGTTGCTTCGAGACGTCGCTGCTTACAGTCAGTAAACTAAAACACTCAAATTGTTGTTTCATAACGCAAGATCTATGCTGTTATTTCCAATGTGACCTCATTTTAAAACACAACCGAGAGTCCGGTAGATAATATTTCCAAATTTCAACTATTGCAGTTATTGCGAAACAAGTATTTCACATGTTGTGAGTTTTAGGTGGCTTATGTTCTCCTGTCTACAGGAAATACGACCCCTGTAGTTCTCCTACTGTTTAACGCTGGTGCCCTCAATGTAACTTGGGCTGATGAAAGCTCCGACATCGCCGCCATCTTGGAATGTTTCTTCCCAGCACAGGCAACAGGGGAGGCTTTGAGACGTGTGATCATTAACGAAGGTCCAAGTTCGAATCCTGCCGGTAGAATGCCTGCTACATGGCCCGCCACAGAGGATCAGGTTAGTATATAGTGGATATTTGTGTTTTCTTGTCAAAAAACATGTTTAGCTCACCTGTCCTGCAAAGTTGATATTCTGGCGCAGTAACGAGTAGAAATGTTAACCTTGCAGATCACGAACCGCTTGAATTATCATGAACGTTTACAATAGTCAAATTATTTTTTGAATTTGTTTTCCTAGATCTTTAATATTACCGAATATTCAATGGAAGGGAAGACGTATCGGTATTTCAAGGGAGATCCTCTGTACCCTTACGGTTACGGGTTGTCGTACACTCAGTTTAAATACTTCCTACTGGAGAATCCCACTACAATCCAAGCGGGACAAGATCTTCACGGCATGGTCACTATCGGCAACACCGGGAATATTGATGGAGATGAGGTTGGTTTTACTCCTGGACCTCAGATTCAGTGCTTAACTTTGTACATATTGCCCAACCAATAAGCTACTTATTTGAATAATGGATAAATGTTTTAGTTCATTTTAAGTATCCCCCAAAGCATAAACAAAATATACAAACACCCTATTTTCCAATAAGTATGTTCACATGCTATATTTTGTCCAGGTTATACAAGTCTACATACAGTGGATGAATGCCACCCAACCGACTCCACAGTTGCAACTGGCCTGGTTCGACCGAGTCACGATCCCTGGCAATGGCGACGTCAACATTAATTTCACCGTCTCTGCCGAAAGTATGGCAGTGTGGGTGGACAACAAAGGCTGGGCAGTGGAGGAGGGTAAGTGGTATATTGAACACTTTCTCACTATGAGGCATTTTCTATCCAGTGTGAATAATATTTTGTTCGATTATTTATAAAAGAATGAAAGTCTTAATATTTTTGTGAACATTATGAACGGGTTAGCATTGGTCTAAATCTACCTACATGTATTTTTGTACTACGTGGATAGCTTGGTTAGGCCCAATGACTACGCTGTCATCGCTGCTCATAGCATCAGTCACTGGTTTATCTGGTCGAGACACGAGTATATTCATACCGACGTCGTTTTGCTTGAATGCGGCGTTAAAGAACAAGCAAAACTCAAACAATACATGCTCAACAGAAAAAAAGGTAACATAATCCAGCTTCATTTATGGTAGCAGTGCCCTGATATGCCCGTCAGACCATGTATGTATATAGATACATGGAAGTAGTCTACAAACTAACTTAAGATGGCACGGTAACAGAGCCCTCAGTACCACCTTAGGTTTCCATATACTCCTGCTTTTGGGAATAAATATTATTTTAATGCTCAAATCAACTGTAACGCCTTCATTAAAAATAGTAAATTCTCATTTAATTAATATATAACATGTTTGGAACTAATTTCTTTGCTAGTTAATCATAGTTACATTTGTCATCAACATTATTGACTTTCCTCTCGTCAGAAATGATTTTTCTTTAAATGGGAGACAAGGCTCGGGTCAATTGGCAAATCTATGCAGTTTTATTCAGTTCATCAAAACATCCCTTGATACGGTCTGTCTTAATGATCATCGTAATGTCCTAGAGACAATGTAGCCGTTTCCCAAATGTCACCAATTACAAAGTCTAGGCCTACATTGTGAACTTTAAATGGGCAATAGATCATGACGGTGAAGTACCCATGTCACTGCTGACAATAACCATTATATACACATTCAAAATGGAGAAAATACGTACCTCTCAGTAATTTGACACTGTTTGATTTCCAGGGGAGTTGATGCTTTATGTTGGAGGTCAACAGCCAAACCAGAAGAAGCAAATAAGTTCCAACGTGGTCTGCAACACATACAAGATCGTGGGATCCAAATTGTTAGGACGATATTAAAATGTTGTACACGGCATTGTACAGTTACTGTGTTGAACGGTGTGGTTATATACTATTTCATATTACTATGGTTAATCTGTCATGAGTGATTAACAATACTAATATAAAAGAAAATGACTACTGACTAGGACATATAACAGAGAAATAACCCTTCAATAAAGAGAGCTATTTGTTTCAAATGCAATGACTTTTTTGTATAATAATTTATAGATTGTATTGATATGTTACAGGTAGATATTGAGTGCTGGTTGACACGATTGTTTGTTGATGAGATATATAAGATTATCTGACATCCGAAGTGAATAATATACCAGTTACATGTACCGGTGAAAGAATGAACTGATCAAGATTTTATCTGGATCCGTTGACGTCGATAGCAATATATCGTGCAGCACGCAGTGGAATGTCAGTTGTTTAAAAAACAACTTCTCCTATTAGAGGAGTTGTGTCTTATTTGCTGCATGTCGGTATCCTAAGCTTTCTGGTAGTTATTGTCTTCTTCCACTACCCTCTGCTTCTTTGATGAAATATCATAATGTTATCTGACCAGGAATCACTTGCTATTTTATGTCATATCTTCACTCAGTTTCTTATATCATTCCTGAAGGTGTCAACCCCACTGCCTGATTGCGAGCCCTGGTAAGTGGTATTCCGGAACCCGCAGGACGCTTGAGGCCAGAAATCTGGTTATGTGATGCCAATATTTCAATGTTGAAATGAATTTTTCTCCAATTTACATGTCACACTCTGGACCTGTAAATTTACCATTGCTCGGGAGGAATGAACAATCAGTAGAACATGATATACATAAGAATGAACGTGTGAGTGATGTTTATACATTCAGTGTTACCAAAATTCGAAAGTAAAAATATAAATAAACACACAAACCAACCACAAATATACATTCTTGTATTTACATAAAGATTAAAGTTCAAGACTCGACAGCGCTTGACATAACATACATATTCCACAATCACAAACAGCCAACAATGTAGGTTTTCAGGTGTATATGTAGACATAGCAACTATAATCACTATATATTCATTGACCTGTTAGATACCTTTTAAATCATGTCGAATCAGCAATCTTAAAACAATTTATCACTTCTCTACATGTTGTCCTTGACACAGTTTCTTCATTGTGCTCACCTCTACAGACATCCCTATATTAGTGTCAGGGAATACATATGGTAACATAGTTACGTTGGTTTAACATGTGGGTAGTTTGAATCAGTATCCTTTGACACCATGGCAGCAGGTGTGTGGGCCTTGTATCCAATACGTGCAACAATACGACAATTCGTCAAATGCTTGTCTTCGTAAGGGCAACAATGCGACAACGCGACAATGTCCCTTCTAAGATCTCGACGCTTTTCCGGACACTTTCTGGACGCTCACCAATTAATTTGTAGTCTTTTTTCCGTCCAATGACCATTTACGGAAACAACGACGTTTTAATTCGTGTTTGCAGTGATATATCCTTATAGCAGTTTCAGAGACGACATATTATAACACACGTTGCTTTAACATCTACCACATGCCAGCCTTTTGTATCCAGTATATGGCCCTGGTCCAGGGGCTAGCAGACTTCCCCTTCAGAAACACCTCACTGTTGATGTATCATGCAACATATATATTATATACCAAACTACACTTCAAACATATCCTGGCAAATGATTTTCAAATTAGTTCTTACTCTGACGTTACTACGCTGTGTGGATTAACGTGCAGGGCAGCAGCATACCCGTGCTTAACAATTTTACAAAAATGGTAAACATGAAGTTCTATGTCCTGAGTCATTCGGGTTTTTACTCGAACATTAAGTCAAATGACGTCTTATATCTTCAAAGTACACCGTATGACCACATGTCTTGTCCCTGACACATATAATTATAAAAACCCAATGTCAATATTCATACATGTATATCATAAATCAGTGTCAGACAATCTATGATAACATAATAGATTGAGTAAGCATCTCCCTAAATCCATATCAGAAGGTTGAAAATATAGACCGTGTACACGTCTGCTAGAACATAGCTTTTATTAGTTGTAGCTGACAACATGGCAGCAGGTTCGTGGACAGTCCTTGCTTAAGCTTGTATCCTGTGTATGGTCCTGATCCAGGGGCTGGCAGACTTCCCCTTCAGAAACATCTCACTGAATGGAGCGACAGGGTTGATGATCTAGTCAGTCGTCTCTCCATAGATGAGATCCAGCATCCGATGGCGAGGGGTGGAGCGGGTACTATCCCCCGGCTGGCTATCGAGCCATATTCTTGGAACACGGAATGTCTGAGAGTTGAGGTCAGGCAACGCTACAGGATTTCCTCAGGCTCTGGGCCTTGCTGCGACCTTCAGGTGTATGGTGATGTGTGTTATTTTTGGTTAGTTGATCAGCCCTTTAACAACATTCAATCCCATCCCTTTTCGTCAATAAATCTCCATATAAAAATCTGTTGTATGTCCATTCCTGTCGAATTCTTTTCTGTTGCAGTTCTGAAAGGAATAATTCCCTGAGATTGAACATTACCATCATATCCTGACAGATTATATAATATTTGTACAGCTAGTAGACATATAACAATACAACTGTATGTGTAAACTGCTGTATTATGCTGCAATATCTGTTTGTTTTTTTATATAAATAAATGGCTCTTATGCTTGTGATAAGGTCTGAATCGCACAATGAACCATGATCTACATGTAGAAGAAATTTCGAATGATTATGGAAATAGCGTAGTCGTTTTTGTTAACATACAGTAACACGTGAAGCTACAATAGGTACGTACCCTTCTAGCCGTGTTTTGTCAATTAAAAAAAGGGGAAATGAAGACCACTCCGGAAATAGAGGCCAAAGTACATGCTTTGGGTATTTAGCTGGATGGTAATTTGTTACAAAACAATGAACAAAGCAGGACATGGGGACAATCTGGCCTACTATGAAATATGTAATGGCATTTAATATATTCTTAAAAGAAGTAGGGATACTCGGAAATAACTTGAAATTTCCAAAACTGTAAGCGTTCTAGTAATAGTTGTGTGATCAATGAACGGATTGGGAAAACATTACAACTGGTATGAAGTCATACAGTAGAACTTATGACCTCCAACGATCTTGAAGGACGACAGGGGCAAAATGGGAATTTCAACGTTAACGTTTTTGGATCAGTTGTGTGTAAAACCGCCACGATTTGTCAAACATTCATTCAAGCGACGCGGCATACTGTGTATCAGTCACTGCTCTGGCCAAGTCTGCATCATAAGTAAATCACATCTGTGATTGCCAGAAATAATGGTCCAAAGAGATTAATCCTATTCAAAACTTGACTTGTCTGTGGTCTCCTTGTTAATGTAACAATTGAACCTAAACTGTTTCTCCTTGCCCTATTTGAGTTACAAACCAAAGGACATAAGCTGGGGGAACGTGGCATTCGAACCAACGATGATAGGTTTCTGATACATTAAAAAGAATACACACCTGATACACAACAGGGTAGATTATGATTGATCAGAATACGGTATTTCTGACCAAAGTCTTTTTACCGAATGTACTTTCTCCGCCCATCCCTAACCGCACGACCACAACTCTCTGGCAATTAAACGAACATCGCTGTCATTATGTATCCGAATCAAATGAGCCACGTGTAATACTCCACAGAACAACATGCACAACGGACTGATGAACAATAAATTATTTTGGTTTAACGCCCAGGTTGTTGAACCTATGGCCAATACTTCACGCGAGGTGTTTCGAACCGGCGCTCATCAGGCGCAACCAAAGGCGCACTCTTCAACTCTGCTGCGCTCCCCGTGCTGTTTGTATAAATGTATATGATACGATTATGTTCTTCTGTTCCGAATTTTCACGTTCTGTTGTCATAGAATCATCAGATTTGTTTCATTAATAACCTAGTATTATTGAGCATTATCCAGACAGCAACGTGTTTCGTTTAATCGAGACAAATGATCTGACACAAATAGTCTGCTACCACTGATGACCCGTAACACGAGTCGACAGGTGATTGTGACAAATTATCACCTTGCCCATGACACAGTATCATGGAATTGATGCTCACCACGACATGTGTCCTTGTAGCAGATCTATGATAATAGCCGTCGTGTGTTAACTAGCTATAGTAAGCATCATAAAGTTTTTATCATTCACCATGGCAGCTCCTCACTGTCTGAGGTGCCGGGTGGATGATCTGGTCTGTCCGATGGCGTGGGGATGGTGAGGGTACTGATGACGTTCCTATCCCCCTAATGTCCAAAGAGGTGCAAAACCAAACTACAGACCACCCACTCACTATCATAAGACCTGAATACATGTTTTCCAAACCCCGCTGTACTGATACATACCTTAGTTATTGACTATGGCGTTTCAGATGCCTTTGGATGGTGTTCTTTATGACATTAACATGACCGGCCTCAAGCTATGTGATTTGGTCATCAGCCGATACAGCCGATAACGGGACAGAAGGGGTAGCCAGACCATCAAGCCTCTAATAGAGGATGCTCACAAAAGGGGGATTGGATGACCAGGCTATATGTATTGATTAGATCATACATGTACATCAACAAAATCAGAAGTTGGTGCCTCGTCCCGACAGATTATTTACATATGGCCGTGATACAGTTGGAATATTGCTGAATGTGGTATAAATAATGATCAAAGACTACAAAATGCATATACCTCATTTTAGGTACATTACCCAACTACAACACCATGTAGAAAATGAAACTTATTCGACTATAGATGTGCATTTATTGATGTTGGGGTACATATAGTCCATAACAAATGGTTCAACATTGCTGCTCCAACACTCAAGTAGAACGTGTTCAACTACTTCCAATTGACTGTGGTCAAAACAAGTTTCTTGAACGCTTATGTGTCACTTATTCTGTATATCTAGCTCTACTGTGGATACGTCTTCCATTCTTAGTATCCCATATGTGATAATCTCACATGCCTCGGGACACAGGGGCACATTTTAATTATTCCTGGTGTGGACACAAACGTCACTATGTCACCTCCACTGTTGTCCCGACACTTCAATTGTAAACGTGAAAGGTCACGACGCTATGTGGATCAACGTGCACGCCAGCACCATTCCAGTCCTTCACCATTTTACGAAAATGGCGAACCTGAAGTTTTATGTCCTGAGTCATTCGTGTATTCCTCCAACATTAAACGGACTTAAATCGATTTAAACATTACATCAACCATACAAACATTCATTTCAAAGTTTCATATATAGCAATCATCGTCGTAAACTCAGATTTCTTTCATCTTCACAGTACACGGTATACGTATGACCACATGTCTGGTCTGTGACGTATATAATTATAAATAAATGAAGGTAATATATATACTCACACGCAAAAGAAACCCAAGTAGTTTTAAGCAAATAGGTAACAAACACGGAACCATAAATTGATACGAGTTTTAGCATGTAGTGAAGCCTGATGGTGTTATCAATGTTTTTGGTTGCATTTTGGAAACCCCGAGTAAAAACGCAACATAAAAAACGAATCGCCAAAACGCACCATTTCAATGAATATGTGGGTATCATGCACCCATTTCTCGCACGAATATATATATTTTTACCGTCATTTGTTATAGTTATATATGTCCCAGACAATACATGTGGTCATACCGTGTACTGTGATGGTATAAGATATCTGAGTTTACGACGATGATTGCTATATGAAATTTTGAAATGAACTGTGTCAGACGATCTATGATAACATAATAGGTTATGTAAGCATATGCCACTATCAGAAGGTTGAAGATGTAGGCCGTGAACGAGTCTACTGGTACTACTGGCTTATTTCAGTAATCGCTGACACCATGGCAGCTGGTGCGTGGACAATCCTCCCTTGTATTCTATGTATGGCCAAGGGACTGGAAGACTTCCCCTTCAGAAACACCTCACTGTCATGGAGCGACAGGGTGGATGATCTAGTCAGCCGTCTCTCCTTAGAAGAGATCCAGTATCAGATGGCGAGGGGTGGGGCGGTTACTGATGGCACCCCTCCTATCCCCCGACTGGGTATCAAGCCATACGCTTGGAACACGGAATGTCTGAGAGGTGATGTGTCGGCAGGCAACGCTACAGGATTTCCCCAGGCTCTGGGTCTTGCTGCATCCTTCAGGTACCTAATGTATTTTTTATTTGTATAAAAGAACTTGTGTAAAAGTATGTGCAAAAAGATTCCTGTAACGAGTATATCAATAAGTGAACGAGTGAGTGAGTATGGTTCTACGCCGATTTTAGCAATATTCCAGCAATATCACGGCGGGGGACACTAGAAATGGGCTTCACACATTGTACCCATGTCGGGAATCAGTATATCCATAAGCTTTATGATAGAGTTTGGCTACAGATGACGTGATAACGATGGAGCAGTAGATGCTTACCCTTTTTGCGAACGCCTGGATTTATAGCTATCCATTTCTATAACTGACCACTTTATGCCAAGTGGATTCTGTTTCGGCAGACATTTGAGACTGATTTTTCTCTGGCGTTGACGTTTTGAAGTTACTCTCAAACAACTTACAAGCAAAACTCTGCAGGGTATTACACATATTTCTATGGCAGCATCTTCATCCATATCAACCTCGACATTTAGTTTTGAGGTGATCTCGTTCCGTCGGGAGTCCTCAATCGTTTTTATAAGTGATAATTCTGTAAGAGTCAATCCCCCACATGCCATTTTATATATTACTCATCTGCATATTTGATAAACATGTCTGTATGGTAAAGCAGTAACTTGGTTTCAATCTCAATAAAATAGGAGTCTTACATTTGCTAATTTTTAACTGCAATAGATTAGATGAAAGAATCGCAATCTGAAATAGATACGATACTCAGTAAACCTCTCCTCTACAACCTGGTACTGTGGTATCATGATCTACAAAGTATTGAATAGATTCAGGGAAATCCTTGTGGTAATTTGTTTTATTTAATTGGTTGTCCGATAAATTAAATCGGGCCAGCCGCAGTCCCCTCATTATTCTGAACATCACTTTAAGCTCCACTTCCCGTCTTGGCCTGTGTATTGTTGGAGGATTAAGGGGATACTAGAGGAGTATTATATATATGATTAAAGCAATTTATCCAAAGGCTAACCATCTGGTAATTGCTCATGTCATGTCCCCTATGTTATGACAATGAACTACTCCAACAACATATTATAGGTGTTAACATTATTATTCAGTAGTCAGTCCGAAAAGATAGATCTCTTATGCATATGGTACAATTTAATAGACTTTCCCGTCGTTGTTTCAGCCCCCGTTTGGTGTTCCAAATAGGGGAGGCAACTGGGGTAGAAGTCAGGGCTAAGTACAACAACTACAGTAGAAGTGGCCTCCATGGGAAACACATGGGAGTAAGCTGCTTCAGTCCTGTCATCAACATTGTCAGGGACCCCAGGTGGGGCAGAATTCAGGTGAGTGACAAACGTGGAATTCATATAATGATGGGCACATCATGCTGGTTTAATAGTTAATTCGATATTTTCTTCAATTCCAACCGCTTTATTGAAGATTACTATTTCGTTAGATCATGTACATATATAACAACTGTAAGTAAATTTATGTGAATCGCGACTTGGATAAGGGTTTCATTTTAAACCTTTAACAACCTTGTTGACTGTTGTGTTATACTGCACAGACGCATGCATCGCATTCCATCCTTGAAGATGACAAGATAAAGCTCCAGTGATCTTGATATTGCAATTACATTTGTCTGTACTTTATACCACATACATGTTTGTATGGTCACATGACCAGCTGAGTATAAATAAACATAAATGCATTCTCTGTAATGTGCATCACGATTGTGGAATATGTACAAGTACAATCCAGTATCAATATGAATTTAAAAGGTGATATTCAAAACTAAATACACAGTAAAAGACGACATTATTTTACTGACACTGACTCAATAGACAACATATTATAGACATCAACTTGAATTCATACAATATAGATAAAATATCCAGTTGTTATAATTTCCTTAGCAACCGCAGTGTTCCATATTATCTAAAACCTCTAACTATATGCCATATGAAGAGATTGAATTTCCTTTAGAGATATGCAAGTTTTGACAATTAAAGTTGTTTCATATTGCCATTCCTACTATCGGGTACTGGTCGAAGTGGTAAATGAGATTACATGTTCACAACGCAACCCCGTTATTCACAATGCATGAGTGAGTTGGTTTTACGCCGTCTTTTGCGATATTGCAGCAATATCACGGCTGGGAAAAATGGGCTTCAGACAGCATACGCTTTCACAACTAGGTTACCCAATCGCCCCTTATTCAAAAGTACGTATTGTGAAGCATTAGTGTCAATAACGCAGGAGTCGGATAAATGGAAATCGGTCATTCATAATGAGTCAAGTTACAATTCCTTGATGGAATTGTTATTTTGTTATTCGTTCATTCAAAACCTGTTCATTCACTCACTCATTGCAACAATAGGAAACATATGGAGAAGACCCTTTCCAGAGCGGAGTTCTAGCAGATAGCTTCGTTCGGGGACTTCAGGGCAACGACACGCGCTATGTGCGCGCAAACGCTGGATGTAAACACTTTGCAGCATATGACGGGCCGGAGAATATACCAGTCAGAAGGCAGGAGTTTGATGCCAAGGTAAACACAACAGGAGGTTACATGTGAGCTTGTTTCACTTTCCCCCAGAGAAGATTTTGCAGTGTATTAAATAAAGCACATGCCAAATTCAAGAATCAAATTCACGCTTCAAGTTTGTTTTGTACCCAGTTTAAAGTGAGTACCTAGTTCTGCGGAATCATATCTACCGTTTATTTTTATTGTACATTCAGGTAAGCGAACGTGACCTTCGAACGACCTTCCTCCCTGCCTTCAGAGCCTGTGTGAAGGCAGGCACATACAGTCTCATGTGTAGCTACAATAGGTAAGTCAAACAAGCACATACAGATTCATGTGTAGCTATAATAGGTGAGTCAGGCAGGCAGGCACATAAGTCTCATGTGTAGCTACAATAGGTAAGTCAGGCAGGCACATACAGTCTCATGTGTAGCTAAAATAGGTAGTCAAAAAGGAGCATAGCTATGTTTTCTTACTATGTATGCAGTATGTTCGTAAATCTCATGACCAGAAAGGAACAGACCTACTTCTTAACCTTGTACATACATACAACTCAAAATATGTGCCATCTCCTGACTAACTTCGACAGTTTTTTTGGAATGCTGGACTCGTATAATTCCTGATCAATTTATGTGGTGATGGCAATACGACTGCAGGTACACTTTACTCTCTGTTCACATGCCAAAGTTAATCACACAGCATGAACGGCGTACCGACGTGTGCCAGTAAGCAGCTCCTGAACGACATTCTGCGAGAGGAGTGGGGTTTTAAAGGTTACGTCGTGAGCGACGGGAGTGCCATAGAGAACATTCTACGCGGTCACCACTACGCCGATAACTACGTGGATGTCGTCTCCGACTGTGTGAACGCTGGATGCAACTTGGAATTGAACGGAAAATTACAAAACCTCGCATACTTCTCAATGAGTAATTCCATATGAAATATTCCTAATATGCTTATTGAACATGGATAAGTGATAACTCTACATAAAATAAGTACACACATATCATTTGCATTTCCATAGAATTCCTAAGCTCGTTGTCATAATAAGCAGTTGGTAATATTTTAAAATTATTTTTTCTCAGAGCATATATTCCATTTCAGTTCGCATCACACCTTCCTGCTTGGAAGCATAAATGAACGCTGTCTTGCTTAACGCTTTTAATTTGCAGTTTTCCCTTTAGGTTTCATATTTAATGGATACATATTTTTATACTTGCTACAAAAGCATTAATGTGTGACAGAAAACAGTTTCCGATTTGATTGGGCATCCGATGTTTCGAAATATATCATTGATCTTATTATCATATCGTTTTTTTAGTCGATGCAATAAAACAAGGCAAGCTCACAGAGGAGAAAGTCAGAGAAAGTGTCAAACCCTTGTTCTACACCCGAATGAGGTTAGGCGAGTTTGATCCTCCGGAAATGAACCCATATTCTAAACTTAACCTCTCCGTGATTGAAAGCCAGGCTCACCAGATGCTTGCAATCGAGGCAGCCATGAAGACCTTTGTTTTACTGAAGAACGAAGGACACATGTTGCCACTGAAAAGAGACACTTTCGACAGGATTGCTGTGAGTATAACAAATGATTTTGACCACCTCTGACTGAAGCCGATAATATCTATATAGAAAAGTACTTCTTTCTCAATCCTTGTTTGTCGGTTACAACATGCAGACTTGCGGTTACAATGCATTTTGGACAGTAAACACTATTGGAACCTAGGGTATTTCGGAGTTTATTGATAACAAAAAGCTTGAAAACTGTCGCTTGTCTTTATCCGACGCCTATGTCATATATTTGTGTCACAATAAACGATTGTCATAATTTGAGGTCATAATAGTGACTTGCCTTGCAGAACTACACCCTGCAAGGCTTACGTGTACTTTATTTGGAGCACCTTTAGAATACAGCCCACACAACTTCTCGGGAGGGCGATCTCTGCCGCATGTCACATGTTACTCAGAAAAACAACAGCTTCTGTGAGAATCCATCAGTCGCGAAGTCGCGACCTTCTGATTGTTAGCCCGACAGCTGTGCAACTGTCATGTCATATCTAAGACATCACGGAACAGAACGTAAAGGGTCGAGTAGATGACGGACACTTCCGAGGGGTTACGGATAGTCTCCGGGGACTTACGAGTGATGCCGATTCTATTTGCCACACTCGTCCCATTCCGTAGTCTACAAGCTACAGAGAAGTGAGTAATGAGCCGACATGGTGCGAACTGAAAACGGCTCCTGACGTCATACGTCTGACATTAGACGTCGAATTCAAGGGTACGCATGAATGGCATGGTGGTAAAAAAATCGGTGAGCTACTTTTTGACAAGAAAGCGTGGGAGGGAACATTGTAAGGATAATGTGGATCAAAGTAAGGAACGAGGAAGGCATAGTCATTACTTGTGACGCAATGCGCGTGAGTCGGCTTTCATATTATTATTAACAAATGTAGCGGCTTGTGAAAGTGGCTTGGGTGGAAGTTCCAGGACGGTCTCCTCTTGGTAAAATATACGACACTTAACCATTTCTCCCGTCTCGATGTTTCGTGTAAACTAAAAATATAAAAGCAATACCAGTTTATTTATTTGCACGCTTTGACGCATCGGCTCTCGTCTTTTAAAATGCATGAGAAGCGGGCACAACCCCCTTAGACCCCAAGCACAGCTCTTACACGTCGTTTTCATTTTCAAAACCAGAGCCTAACTGATTTATTGAAAAAAAGATAGATTTTGTTCGGACCGGCGACGTATGGATGTGCGCAACATCCCTAACTATACACCCAAGACATAATAATGAAAATCCCTAAATCGAAAAACAATTATATATATTTGTTCACAATAATAATCCTTTGCGTCCTTTGAATTAAAATGTAACCGAAATATAAGATTTGTTAAAAATAAAAGCGCTCTCATAAACTAGCTCTTGCTATAAAATGCCCCACCGCAGATTATGTTCAGTAAATAAATATTGAAAACTCTCAATATCGCTGGGTTTATAAAACTATTCATGACAATGTGTGTAGAGGTAATAGATCACTGAGAGGAGCTCCTGAACACTCTATGACCCCAGCAACGTTGTTGCTAGGCTGACGTCACAGGGCATTGTTTCGTCGGAGTGTTCTGCACGTGACGTGTTTGTAAACTTTGTGGTGCCGAATTCTAAAGATAGGCTCTTTATTTACTTTAATGGTGTCTACTTCAATTTGGTTTATGACGTAGATGTGTTACATACTTTCAATTCCCGTCATACAATGATGTAAAACTGTTTGAGTTTATACAACTGCATACTTTGTAAATAAAACGACAATAATCAGTGATCATAACCCATTGTACAATTTCGACTGTAACTTGTTTCTTCTCAGATTGTTGGACCCATGGCCAATAATTCACATCAGTTGTCAGGGGATTATGCCCCGTTGACATCCACAACCTTTATAAAAACACCTCTCCAAGGGCTGGCTAAACTGGCGAAGTCTGTCAACTACGCAGCCGGATGTAACGACACTTTATGTAAAATTTACGACGCCGCTTCCATCAAGAAGGCAATCGCCATGACAGAAGTTATATTTGTATGTCTCGGAACAGGTAATTCGGATTACCATGAAATCCAACACTTAGTTTTACAATGGCAAATCCATATAGAAACAAAATATCACTCGTCTACTTCACACGCTCCATCATTAGAAATGTAACTACTCCTGTACGTGTATCTCGTGTCCACTCGTTTTCATGCTTACTTCAGGAAGGGTTATTGAATCCGAGGACAACGATCGCTATGACATCAACCTCCCCGGGTATCAACTGCAGCTGCTTCAAGACGTCGCTGCTAATAGTAAGGAGACATCTTATATGTTATTCTACTCCTTCATTGTGGTTAAAGCTTCGGCTAGTTACACCAAAGATCAAGGTTCGATTTCTCATGTGGTTAAAGTGCAGGAAGTCCAAATCTTCTGACGCGATGCCGTTGGACGACTGCTAAAACAGCGTTTTCTGCTCGAATTGTTGCTGCATCCGACAAAATGGATGATGTTATGACCATTGCGACCTCATTAAACCACAATGGAGAGGCAGACAGTTCATCTTGCCAGACATCATCTGTAGCATTCCCCGGTCGCGTCATAACAAAAGTTGAAAGGTGGTACTTGTAGTTACCCTGTCTGGCTCTCGGCATTAAGGGGCTAAAACAAGGACTGGTCGTCTAGGTGTCAGTATACTGTGTCTGAGTGGGGTATTCATGTTAAACTGCGGCATGGTATCTCAGTGTGCTAGCACTATAATTCGGCATCAGTCCGGACTAGTACAAGCAGCCACACACACACACATACACGTCGCTATATAAGTGCCATTATCTGAAACGCGAAGTGAAACCCAGTTTCACCTCACCTCACCTCATCTGTAGCAGGTATATTGAAACATGTCTTTTACATAAAAATGTGAGTTTTAGATGGCATATGTACTTCTCTTTACAGGAAACGAGACCCCTGTAGTTCTCCTACTGTTTAATGCTGGTGCCCTCAATGTGACCTGGGCTGATCAAAGCTCAGACATCGCCGCCATATTGGAATGTTTCTTCCCAGCACAGGTAACAGGGGAGGCATTGAGACGTGTAATCATTAACGAAGGTCCAGGATCGAATCCTGCCGGTAGAATGCCTGCTACTTGGCCCGCCTCAGAAGGTCAGGTTAGTATACAGAGGATGTTTGTGTTTTCCTTTCAAATAACGTGTTTATCTCATCGAGTGACCTGCAAAGTTGATTTTTTGACGCAGGTCAAAAACCGTTAGAATTCTCATGAGAATTTACAATAGTGACATTAATGTTTAATTTGTTTTCCTAGATCTTTAATATTACCGAATATTCAATGGAAGGGAAGACGTATCGGTACTTCAAGGGAGATCCTCTGTACCCTTATGGCTACGGATTGTCTTACACTCAGTTTGAATACTTCATCCTGGAGAATCCTATTGTGATCCAAGCGGGACAAGATCTTCACGGCTTGGTCAACGTAGGCAACACCGGGAATATTGATGGCGACGAGGTTTGTGTAATGTTTTATGTAATCATCCCTTTGTTGGTTAGAATTGCATAGAACACATGAGTAGATGTTTTCCCAAACAAAAAAGCATATACAAACTCTATTTTCCAAAAAGTACACATATCATACAGCAAGGTGCTGTCATGTCGCTATTTACCCTCATTGGATGTGTACAAAGTTATGTTAACAGGGGATCATGTATCTACACAGCATTTCTAGATAACGAAAAAGCTTTTGATCGAATATGGCACTCGGGTCTCTTTGTAAAACTCTATCATGGTCTCTATACTTCCATGTATGCGTGTGTTCAGTATGAGGGCGAGTAATCTGATGTATTTGCCGTTAGACAAGGTATAGGTCAGGGTAGAGTTATCTCAGCTTGGCTTTTTCTTGTGTGCATAAATGACCTCATAACTGAGCTTCGGCAGTTAGATACAGCAACATGTACATATAATGTTAGTATTACCATGCGTGTTACTTGCTGATGATACTACTCTTATCAGGTACAGCCTAAAGGTCTACAAACAGCTTTAGATACAGTTAACTACGCATCGAAATGGCGATTAACTTATAATGCATCGAAAAGTAAAATTGTTGTGTTTCATAAAAAAGAAGCAATTATTGTGTACGCATGCTTATCACATTGGGGATTATGACATACCTGCGTTTGATAATGTTTAATATGCGGGTGTTGTTCTACAAAGTAATCTTTCTTTCAAATTATATATTGAAGAGAGCTGCACAAACGCAAGGTGTACTATTAATTATCTCCTCTCTGTTGGTCTAAATAGCAGTGACTTACATGAGTAGCAAATATTAAGATATGGAAAAGAATGATCTTAACAACATTTTTTTTATGGATGTGAATTACTACCTCCTCTGCGTGGTAAAGATTTTGAAATAGCTGAAAGCACCCAGCGTTACTGTGCAAGGATTGTACAAGGTTTTGACAAACGTTCTCCCATTGTTGCCACTATTGCTAATCTAGGAGTTTGGAGCATGGTTGGCTATAAAGTTAAATGTAGACTGCAGCTGCTGGGGCGTCTCTGCAACAACTCATGTGTATCAATTTGTAAAACTGTTTTCTGTGCATAAACTTCATTCTATTATTTTCATAACAGTAATTTACATAGTTTATGTGGAGTGTTGCTTTCAACAGCTAAGAAATATAACCTACTTCATCATGTATTTCACTACGTTCGCACAGGGGAATTCCCTGCGAAGACTAAGTGGGGAAGGATTGTGTTAAATGAAATAACGACCCACGAGGAAGAAGTATGGAAATATAAACTATCATGTAGAACTGACCTGTCTCGATATTCTAAAATTCACACAACACTTACCCCTCATGTGTTATACAGCATTGTAATGTTATATCCAGAATTGAGAGAAGAAATACAGTATGTAATAAGGATTGGATGCAGAAGAAAATATCAAAAGAATGTACACTTTACACAAATACTTTTGCTCATAATTATTATCACCATTATCTTAAACTGTGAATGTCTACTTCAGAGAGAGAGAGAGAGAGAGAGAGAGAGAGAGAGAGAGAGAGAGAGAGAGAGAGAGAGAGAGAAATGTTGAAATGTTTGGTAAAATAGAGATGTTGGAAGACCATGATATGTTAGCATTCTTTCTTTGTGCAGATAACAATGACATTGATGAAATAACGTGACATTTCACTATTATTGAATTCTCAAAGTATTTATATCAAATTAAACAGATCCTAAACAACGTGTGGTTACTTACCAATAGTTAGCCTGTAAATATGCGGGACATTGATATATATTATTATATGTATTATGTTTGATTATTTTGTTATTTAATTACATAATCTTGATGTTTTGAGAATCTCCGGATTTATCTGGAACAAACAAAGACATTCATTCAATCATTCATTCATTCATTCATTCTGCTGCAGAAAGGTATATTTTGTCCAGGTTATACAAGTCTACATTCAGTGGATGAATGCCACTCAACCGACTCCACAGCTGCAGCTGGCCTGGTTCGATCGAGTCACGATCCCTGGCAATGGTGAAGTGAATGTTAATTTCACCGTCTCTGCCGAAAGTATGGCAGTGTGGGTGGACAACAAAGGCTGGGTGGTGGATGAAGGTAAGTGGTATATTGAATACGTTGTCATTATGATCACTTATTAAAGAACACAAATCTTCCTATTTATAACTTTATGAACATTATCGACGGGTTAAGATTGGTCCACAGTTACCTTTGCTTTCGTTCTTGGCGACTCCATTAATCGTGTCGTCAGGCTCATTGACTAAGTGGTCTACATTATTATCATTTGTCTTAACACCAATCACTGGTTTGTCTGATGGAGGAGGGTAAGTGGTATATTGAACAATTTCTCACTATGAGGCATTTTCTATTTAGAGTGAATAATGTTTTATTCTGTCATATATATTTATCAAAGAATAAAAGGCTTCATGTATTTTTGTGAACATTATCTTCATAACCCTTAACATAACTTCAGTTACTGGTTTGTCTGGTCCAGGCGTTACAGAAGACTGTCATCCTATCAAACAATTAATGAACATTCAACAAAAACAGAACAGCAGCGCAAACAAATGAATTAATGCTTAATGATCAGCATAATGAAACAAAGACAACAGATCATGAAGCATATTCTTCGGTTAAAGACGCTTTGAAGATGAGAGCAGAGTACCCTTGTCACTGCTGAAAAGTGCTATTATATATATATATACACAATTTAAATGAAGAAAGTTCTTGATTTTCAGGTGAGATGTTGCTTTATGTTGGAGGTCAACAGCCAAACAAGAAGAAGCAAATAAGTTCCAACGTTCTCAGCAATACCTACAAGATCGATGGATCTAAATTTTTGGGACGATATTAGAATATTGCACACACGTCTGTAGCGTAACTGTCATAAACAGTGTGGTTATATACTACTCAAAACAAGTTGAGGACATCCTGACAGATTAAATATAGTACAGTGAACTACGTTACAACGAACTCAAAGGGACCATTCACTTTAATTCGTTATAACCGTAGTTCGTTATAAGCATATATACAGCAAATGGACGGGACCAAAAAAACCGGTTAATTACATCCGTCAGTTCAGCGTGTTCGTCATAAACGTAGTTTAGTGTAATATGAACGAATCAGGTCGTCCTTAATTTTGTTTGAGCAGTATACATATCTAAGAAGGTTATGACTATTCAATAAAGAAAACGATTTGTGTCAAATTATTTTTAATTATAGATTGTATTTACATATTACAAGTATATCATCTTGAATGCTGGCGGACAAAAGATATACCAAACTAACATTAGGAGTGAATAAATACCTGTTACATGTGAAATAATGAACTGATCATGATTTTATCAGGATATCCGACGTCGAGAGCAACGCCACAAATAAATATACACAAAGATACAAGTAAAGCACACCCTATTATATTTCAATATTGTTTGGACCCAATATTTGTAACAGTCATGAAAGATATAATTACGGGAAGAATTATGTTTTCTCGAAATGATGTAATCAGTCATGCGTGACGAAAGCTCACGTGCCATTCATGGTATACCCGTGCAGCATGCTACCCTCGAGTATCTCTGTAAGCAGTATATCCAAACGTTAAAATTGCTTTCTTCAGCTCGGTTTTAAACATTTATTCCATGACATTGTGTGACCATGGCACGAAGGCGATTATCAAACGCCACAAGATGGCAAATAATCGGCATGCATAACGCAGGAATGTCTTGCGATGCCATTGGTCGGAATTAGGGGGATCATCACACTGTCGACAACCGTTTAGTCGAGAAACATGCTCAGACCGGTGATGTACAGGGCCGTCCCAGATCCGGAAGACCTCCTCCATACTTTTTTGAGGTATTGTCTGAGGTCAAAAACCGTACCTGTGTTACCATGATGTTTTGTCAGTAAATTTCAATCACAACTCACAAAAATCTTCTTTATTTGTTGTCAACTGTTTGTTCTATCCGATGGTCAGTCATCCCATGCCATGATTTTTGCCATTTGTCATGGTTCTGAAATAGGGATGTGCTTAACCTTTCTGCGTATACATGTATATGTAGATGCGCCTGCAGCACGCAGTGGAATGGCAATCCAATATATGACCCTTAATTGAAACCGTATCTGAAAATATGATGTCCTCAGCAATATTCCAGCTGTATAAAGGCGGCGTGTTAATAACTGAGTGTGGACCAGACAAACCAGTGCTTATTATGTAAGCAACGTTCCACTTCGTAAGGGTACGATGACACCCAGTGAACCAAGTCACTGTGGCTGATCACTCGACCCAGCTTATAACTATCGCCTCCTACGACATGCTCATGATGCTGGAGACCTATTCTAACCCGAAATGCCCTAGGACCGATGAGGTTCTGACATTCAGTGTTGTGGCTAACTTTTCGACAGAGACGATAATGCATCGTAATAAAAAATACAACAGTTTATACGTGCGTACATGTGGTTTGCGTCACTTGTTTTATAGCTGAGGTTAACTTGTGCTGGGTCACCTGACTTTCATTCTTTGGTAAACAACGTGCATCTTGTTGCTCATAGCAAGGAGCAAGAGATTTATTCTTCCGCTCATAAATCCAGCCTGTTTTGTTCGTGGCGGGGTAAAAGGGATTTATTCTCCCCCTCAAAAATTTATTCAACCTGAATCACTCAAATATGCGATACGTGATTTGTTTTGATAGTTGAATTGTTTGTATGGAAAATTATTTATCGATATTGAAAGTATAACATTTCTCCATGGACAGATTCAGAGGAGAAAATTCTGAGCGTGAGTCGTATGAAATCTTTGAAAACTTGGTAGAAAGATCATGCTAGATTGTACCTAAACAGAGCTAAAAACAATTCTATTCAATATAACAACGTATTCCTCCCACTACCCTTTAGCTTCTTTGGTTAAATATGTCATCCTACCAGGGATCACTTGTTTTGTTCTCTCATATAATCGATCAGTTTGTTTCGTATTGCATTCTGGGGCGGTCAGGTAGCCTAGTGGTTAAAGCGTTCGCTCATCACGCTGAAGACCCGGGCTCGATTCCCGACATAGGTACAATGTGTGAAGCACATTTCTGGTGCCCCCCATTTGCCCAGCACATAATCCTATTAAACATATACATTGTTGTATTTACTTAACATGTAATTAAGATTAGTTCAATATTTAATTCAGTCTCGATAGCGCTTGGCGTGACATACATATTACCCCATCAGTAACAGCCAATAATGTAGGTTATCAGGTGTAAACATATTGAGACATAACAACTATAATCACGATATTAATGGATCTGTTAGATACATTTATTTACCAAGGTAACTCCATTATCATTCTGCATTCTCAGCATTATAAAGTGTCTTTATAAGCTTTTCACTTTGGAAATACATTAAGAGTCCGCCACATTAACGGAAAACTATTGTCATAAAAAGTTAACGCCAAAGAATAATCAGTGTCGATTATCTGTGGAAACAGAATCAGTTAGGTATAAAAGATGAAATAGAAGTGAATATTATATGATTGGAACAATGGAAATCAGTTATGACAAAAGGTATCAAATTATTAACACGTTATTACATTTTCATTGTTACTGTACATACTAATGTGAACAATTTACTTTTTCCTGGCGTCTCAAACCACAGTTCAACCCTACAGTTCTTTTCATAAGCCTTTGAGAAATATATAAAACATGTAGCAATATTTCCTTTTGGTTTCAAAATATGAACCAGCACGTGTATAATATTATTGTCAACAAGCTTTTATGAAATCCTTTTTGTGGACATACGTTGAATTATGTCAAGAAAGTTGGTTAGTCAATGTTAAATTCACTTTTAAACAGTTTTCCACATCACTTACAATACAGGGGCGGTGGGGTAGTCTAGTGGTTAAAACGTTCGCTCGTCACGCCGAAGACCCGGGTTCGCGATCGATTCCCCACATGGGTACAATGTGTGAAGCTCATTTCTGGTGTCCCCCGCCGTGATATTGCTTGAATATTGCTAAAAGCTGCGTAAAATCATACTCACTCACTTAAAATAATGTAGTTAATGGACTGTAGGAGTCATCATCATTACTCGATAAAGAGTATAGCAGTTGGATAGTCTGGCATATACGGATAGCATGACGTCATAATGTCATTGATGTGACGTCACTTAAGAACCGGGTAGAATAGGTCTTCAGCAACCCATACTTGCCGTAAAAGGCGACTGTGCTTGTCGTAAGAGGCGACTGACGGGATCGGGTGGTTAGGCTCGCTGACTTGGTTGATCCATGTCATCGTATCCCAATGCGAGGATTTGATGCTCGTGATGTCAATCACTAGACTGTGTAATCCAGACTCGATTATTTACATACCGCCGTCATATAGCTGGAACATTGCTGAGTTCGGCGTTAAACAACAAACAAACCATCAAACACTTGCTTGTCATGTCATAATTGAACCTTACCATTCCGAACTTATTGGCTGTTACACAAACATATGTCACCGAAAATAATGAATGTACTTGTAAACACCTAATAATACATTCGTCGCATGTCTCACTAGCGGAGTTCACCCGATTTTACGAACTGAACGTTCGTGTACACCCCTCGACCATCGGTGTCTTGTTGAACAGTCTCCCCGTGAAGATCCGGGTTAGAATTAGTCTTCAACAAACCATGCTTGTCGTAAGAGACTTCTAAAGGGATCGGATAATCAGGCTCGGTAACTTTGTCGCCGTATCCCACGAACATAAATCGATGCTCATGATGTCAATCACTGAATTGTCGAATATTTTAAGACCGCCGTCATACACCTGGAATATAGCTAGTAAAATACAGGTACACTCCGCTATTGACACATGTTACTCCTAGGATCAACTACACCTTCTTTCTGCTTCAGTTGTATATTAGTCTTATTATACTCGTTAATCATAGTTAGGTAGGTAGTGAATAACATGTTGAAAATGTCAATGAACAGTGGTCGCAATATATCAAAGTGGACAATAAGATAATCATTTGCTATCACGTCTATGCCAGATATCTTGTTGCATGTTATATAAGCTCATCAACAAACGTTACCGCATCGTTCTGTTTCACTATTGCAAGATACAGACGTTTGTAAAGCATGAACCTTGAACTTTATTCGGATTGACATAAAACATGAAAACACAATTCAAACATTTAATGCCGTGTTGCATTGAGGTTCAGGACACGGCGTAATTGTAAAAACTCAATTCAGGTTAATACGAGGGCTGGTCAAAACGTTCTAAGCCTGACTTTAAACTATGGGCCATAACAAAGTGAACTAGTCAATGTAGTATATTGTTTGCGTAGTTCATTGCAAGTGTATTTGGTCTGTTGAGGTCGTTGGAATATTAATGACAGCCAGTTGAACGTGATAGGGTCCAAATGGACACAGAAATGGAAAAAAACAGTACCGAGCAGTCATCAAGAATTGACTTTACAAAAGATTACTCCCCTAGAAATTCATGACTGCATGTCACAAGTGTATGGGGATAAGTGCCCTTTCTATTCCACTGTTAAACGTTTGGCAGCTATGTTTAAGGCTAGGTGGACAAGCCTTGATGATGACCCAAGGTCTGGACGTCCCTCAACTTCCGTCAATGAAGATGCAGTCAAGGAGACAGAAAAAACCTTGTACTGTAAGATAGACGTATTACCATTGCTGAACTTGAGGAAGACACGGGTCTAAGCCATGGATCCACTGAAACTATTATTCATGAACATTTACAGATGAATAAGATATCTGCTCGTTGGGTGCCAACGATCTTATCTTAAGGGAAGAAGAATCGCTATTGCCAGAGCTAATTGAGGAGGATTTCGTCAAATTCAAAACGAGATTCTACCACTATGATCCCGAATAAAAACGTCAATCCATAGAATGACACCATTCCACTTCACCGGCACAAACCAAAACAAGTCCCTAAAATCAGTGAAGAAAGTTATGGCCACTGTATTCAGGGACGCAAGGGATGTGATCCTTGTTGATTATTTAGAAAGCCAAAAGACGATTACCGGGGTCTACATGCCGATTTGCTTCATCGCCTGAGATATTTTTTCGGAGAAAAGCGTCGAAGACTGCTGGTGTTCTACTACTTCATGTCATTGCCTATTCTCACTCCTCTCGACTTGCAGACCCGGGTTCGATTCCCGACATGGGTACAATGTGTGGAGCCCATTTCTGGTGTCCCCTGCCATGATGTTGCTGGAATATGAGTATAAACCATACTCACTCACTCACTCACGACTTGCAAAGGCTGCTGTTGTGTGATAATGTTGGTTCGATGGGCTTCCTCACTCTCCATAATCGCCAGACCTGGCACCAAGTGATTTTCACCTGTTTCCTAAACTGAAAGAACACCTTCATGGAAAGCGCTATAACGACAACGATTACCTCAAGCTGCCGTGAAAGGGTTTTCAGGGTGGCTTCAAAAAGCTTTTTCCTGACTGGAAAGCTTCACTATCGATATGAGAAGTGTATTGAAAAGACGTTAAACCCAATTTCACTGCACCTCACCTTAACATGAACACTCCACACAGTATATCAATGGGCTAGCACTATAAAATCGCCGCGAGTCCGGACTAGTACAAGCAGCCACACACACACGCACGCACGCTCGCTCGCACGCACGCACGCACGCACGCACGCACGCACGCACGCACGCACACACACACGTACATGCACGTCGTTATATAAGTGCAATAATCTTGGACACGACGTTAAGTCCCACTTCACCCCTCCTCATCTACCTAAGATTGTAATGTCCTCTAAAAGGAGGATTTTCTAAAAGTGTCCTTTATTATTGCCCGCCATACTATGCTCTCCACAAACGCAGGGGATCATGAAATATACATGTTCTGGTCGGTTGTCAGGAGAAAGATCAGCTTTGACTGACAGAGATGGAGTTACACGCCATTACTCATTTGAAAGATAGCACTTCATAACGTCAAACAAACACCTAGAAACCTGAATATAGACAATTGTTTATCCTACAAAACAAGTAAAATGAATACATTACCCTTCAGACATTTTCTGTGCATTGAAATATCCCCTAACGTTTCGCTGATGTAATAACTTCAGTGCACTAGAGAATACATGTGTGTTGGGATCATACAATTATGTCAGCGAGGTCATGCTTTTCATTAGAGGCGACGTTGCAAAACCATATACAGTATGTCAGAACATTTTACTCTTGTATTCATTTCCCCCATCTATTATACTCTCCAAAAATAGAAGTTGATTTTGAAATACAAATGGTATAAATGGTCGTCGGAAGAAAGACCAGTTTAGAAAAACGACTGTCATAATTTCGGAACCAAACCCTAATACACCCGAAACATTGCATGTGGATCTTGATTTCCTCCATGCAATATGAGTTGGGCGTCATTCTTGATTTCGACACTTCAATGAAAGGTCATCAAATCGCTCTAAGCCATTGGTATTGTAGATGTTCATTATCCACAGTGACATGCAAGCTGTCTGTTCTTGCTTCAATTAAGTACATGTGATCACATTGGAAATTCGCCGTTTGCAACGCAATGAACGCATGAGGGCTATTGGTATGTTCTCCTAAGACCAGGGTGTTTATAAAAGTAAATAAACGAATCGAGTAGTAAGTGGTTTGTTTGGGAAATCGAGGATGAAGAGATGTGTACCCATGGGGATTCCCTGTTTCTTGTCGGAGGGTTGACAAGTCAGGCATTTCACTCATGATCATGTCAACGTTCATGTATTTTAAAACACAGCCTCACAGACTGATGCCGATTCAAAGTGCTAGCTCATTGAGATACCATGCCGCAGGTTAACATGAATACCCCACTCAGACATAGTATACTGACTCCGAGCCGACCAGTCCTCGTTTTAGCCTCTTAATGCCGTGCGCCAGACAGGGTAACAACAGGTACCATCTTTTAACCTCTTTTAGTATGACGCGGTCGGGGATCGAACCCCGGACCTTCCGATCTCCGGGCGGACGCTCTACCACTAGACCACGGAGGCGGTCCTCAGTAGAACGAAGACCTTCCGATCTCCGGGCGGACGCTCTACCACTAGACCACGGAGGCGGTCCTCAGTAGAACGAAGACATTTCGGTCATTGATGTCCTCAATAATATGATGATATTTTGAGAAGTTTAATCAACTCAATCTAAAATGAGGACAAATGCAGTATCGTCCCAGATAACTTTATTATGACTCTGTTTCTTCTACAAATGAGGTAGATATTCGTTCTTGTTTGTTCTGAGAAATTTCCAGTTGATGTTCAGTCAACCTAACGATCCATATATAGTCGCTTTTCTTGTGAAACACCTCTTGATCTTGCTGAAAGTAGTAAAATGATTATTTTGTTATTTGATTTATGTCAAAGCAATATCAACAGTTTGGAGTAATAAATAATAAGTTCAAATTACCTTCCCGTCTGAATGGTAATTCTATTCTTTGGTTTCGTTAAATTTACATATTCAAGGTTTGATTCTATATTCGAAACCGAGTGTCTCCTTCATTGATGCACACAGATTCCAACAACATCATGTACCATGATACAATATCCTCGCCTCTATGGGTAATAGCTGGGTAATAACTAACGCTAAATACTAACGATGTGATGGAAAAGGAAATATATGTGCGGAATAAAGGAAATACAACAATACCTAGCCTTTACAAGGGTCTTAGTGAATTCATTCACATGGACATGGAATTTTATAGGACCACTAGGTCACGCACGACCATATCTTTACTTACATAGAGGAATCATAAACCACATATATCAACCGTATTCAGTTGAGACATGGTAAAACCACTCACTGATAACAAGAGCTATGACAGCAACAAATAGCATGGCGATTATGGAACCACATGTGGAGGATACAATTATTAAGCTGTGGGGATCTGAAATGTAGAAAAAGAGGTTAAAATATTAACTGAAGCCAGTATGGAAATATCTGAATTAATCCTGATGTAATTTTGAAAATTCAAGACGAAAATTATGTATGTTTTTATTTTATTTCAGGATAAAATAAAAATTTAGGGTTAGAATAATATACTTGGATGGTCAGGCTCGGTGACTTGGTTGATTTTACGTTGATAGCATGGGACGTTGTTAATAATATCAGTCACTGGTTTGTGTGGTCAAGATTAGATTATATACAGGTCGGTGTCATATTGTTTGAAAAATGCTGAATGCGGCGTTAAACAGCAAGCAAAACATAAAAAGACAATCGCAGTGTGGTAATAGCATTAGTACGTCACTACAATTTACCTGCTGTCGAAACAGTTATGTTGGAAACCGATGGCATGTAGGACATTTCTGTAATAAAATGTTGAAATCATCACTCTGCACTTCTGTTACAATTATGTTCCGCCAATAGTTTCAACACTGACACTTTCGAATATCATATATATTTCACGTGTTACATATAAATTGGAATAAAGGCATTCAATTGTAACACTAATATTATGATTAAATTGAACAAACATGGAATGAAAAACAAACAAAAACTACACAGTATGTTACAACCTGATTCGTGTTACCACAATGGTAGGTTAAAACGAGGTACACTTACTATTACGGTCTGCCACAAAAATCATTGTTGATTTGTTTCCTTGAAATTCAGCATTGGCCCATACCTATACAAACAAGAATTTGCACAAAGAACTGCATACTTCAGGACAAGGATTTATGTTATCTTTTTGCATTAACAGTTATAGTGCCTTCAGTCAAGTATACATGTTTTCGTTTATCTTAAGCATTACTTTTTGCTTTCTGTTGACATATTCGTTCCACAAGATAGTCTCGAATCCTTTGGTAAAATAGATAGTTTACTAATATACAAAACATCCCTTGAATGCCTTTTGAAATGGAACTTTGTTGCTGTTTTTAAACATGCATCCCAAATTATTTCAAATGTCCTTAACCTTAAGTTGACCTTATATGTAATAAGATGGTACACTATTTGTAATAATGATATGACCAAAAGTCTTTTGGGCAGTGCAAATTTTATTACATGTTGAAATTTAATCTATGTTCTCAAATTTCTCTCAGTTACAACAGAAAGAAAGCAACATGTTGTTTTCTTTGACACTTTTCCAATGTCCTCTTCACATTTTTTGGCACATACGAAAATAATTTTCATACCAGGAAAATGTTTTTGATATTATTTCTATAGCCAGTTACAAGCGGAGTATACGGGAGTTTACGAAGCCAGTCGGGTCTGTACAACCAGAGAAAGGTCTATAATTATCAGTCCAAGTTAAAGCGACTTATTTGCCAAGAAATATATTTGTGTGCCCATATTAGATTAAACCTTTCGGCAACTCAACGTGCGAACAGGCACGAAATGACAAGCAAGAAATATCACATCCATCAAACATTAAGTCATGATATCCCTACACGTTAGCAAACCCACTGGTTTGATAAAACAGTGACAAACAAATCGGACAGATATATTCTATAACGAGTAATGAAATCCTTTTTTTTTCAAGTAAGACAGAATGTACTAACGTTTCATGAATACAATGTCATCATTTATTTGTTATTTCATGCGTCAATATTGTAATTGACGTGTTATACATACCTGGACTGTGTACTGCCCATCTGGGATGACAGGGAGATACGCCGTGTGGGGGGTGGTGCAAGGGTCCTCGGGGTAGTAGCTCCCTGCCGTCATCGTCATGGACCCCTGTTGTATACGTATGAAGAGATCCGTTCATTTTTATGGACTCGACTACATCCTCTATAATTTTGTAAATGTGTTTTAAATACGGATAAATACTGTCACTCTTTTCAAATACATACATTGCAATAAACACCATATGGCCAGTTATGGGTGGATTAAATTAGCCTCTGAAAGACAATACTCCGAGGAAGGACTCGATCAAATTTCAGCGTTTCGATACAACGATACAATAAATAACCGGGAATCATGTATGCACACGTGCCAAGGTGGAGTCACGTTGGTGTAAGGTAATGTTATGATAGCATCTATTTTCATCAGAAAGAGACATCAGCTTCTGGTTCATGAAGCTTTGATGGTGCTGTTCTGATGTGAAGAAGTTCCCCATTAAAATTCTACATCTCTGCGTAATTTTATAGATGGAGGTAGTAGACCCAGTGCCCCGCGAACGCAATTCCAGCACAACGTTCATATTTAGCCAACCTTACGTTATATATTTGCTGGGGGCACAGGTGACCCAGTATTCTAAGGTGCAGATCTAGAATTGCGTCACTTGGGTACGCCACAAACCTATGATTGTGGGTTCGAATTCCGGGTCGTGGGTTTCACAAAAGCGGTATACGTCTCAGGCCTACATCGATCTCTTCAGGCTTTCCTCCCACATTGAGCTGACGCACCGTGATATCATTGGATGGTGTTAAAATAGGCGTTAGTAGCAATTCATCACGCACTTATATTTTCATTACATTGCATTTTCCGACCCGTGAAGATCCGGTGTAGATAGGTCTTCAGCAACCCTTGTAAGAGGCGACTAACGGGATCGGGTGGTCAGGCTCGCTGACTTGGTTGATGCATGTCATCGTATCCCAATTGCGTGGATCATGTCAATCACTGAATTGTATGTTCCAGACTCACTTATGACCGCCGTCATAAAGCTGGAAAATTCCTGAGTGTGGCAACAAACAAACAAACTTTTCCTTGTCATTGGTCTTATATAAAATGAAACGATAGATCACAATCCATTCAAGTATTCATATACGTGTGTATAAGCTTATATGCATGTTTAATGAGGGGAGTTAAGATGTAACGTATCAGCACAGCTGGCTGTGGTTAATGTTAATACAGAAACAATAATTTCACATTATTAACACCATGTCTAAATCTACTTTTGGGGTCAGATACAAATCCATTTCATAATTATCGACACACTCACCAAACTACAAGTTCTTATTACATAAAGAACCAAGTGTTCCATGATTAAATATCTTACATTGCCTGTGTAGATGATGGTGTAGCTTGTGATGCGCCCATTCCTCATCTTCTCGGCGGGACATTCCCAGATGAGTCTGGCGGCCAGGTATTGACTTGGGACAAACTTCACGTGGATGTTCTGCACGGCACCAGGAGCTACAGAAGTAATACAATTACAAGTCAAGTCATTTTACCCATCTCATCTTTTTTGTTTTATACTGTATAATATCTCCTACTTCTATTTCAAATGATTGAAAATGTCCTACCACCCCCTGGGGAAGTAGGGGCTAAATGTATATCGTGGCTATTTATCTGCAAATAAAAATGTCGATGTCAACTTCATTGTACAAATGGGCGGCTATAGGCAACAATTGACTTGCCTTTGCATGTGTTTGTGACGGGTGTCATCGGTGGGGCAGGATACGCTCACCTTTTCGCGAACACCTGGCATCATTACTATTTGATCATGATTCATAAACACATGCCCATGACGTAGTCGGAATTGTACAATCGACTCTGCTTCATGCAGAGATTTTTATTGGATATGGAAAGGGCTTTGTCGCTTTGAAGCGGTACACATCACTGACAATTTGGCATTTTTCCGATTGTCAAATAGTGACGATACTAGGTGTTCGCGAAAAGATTAGCTTGTCCTTCCCCACCGGTGGCACCCGTCACAAACACATGCAAAGGCAAGGCAATTATTCACCTGAAAACAATTGGTACCCGATGCTTGCTAAACGATTTAGGGACTAAATATATGGATCATTGACAGTACTCTATTATCTTTGTTTGCCCAAACAAATTCTTCATTTTACTCATGGATTATCTACTTTGCGATACTAACCGCTTGGTAGCGTTCTGACATGTTGGGATGTTGTTCTGTCTGATGTTCCAGCGTTGGTGCTGGCCGTGATGCTGACCATGTACCTCCAACTGCTCAGCAAGTCCGTCACCTCGTAGGAACTGCTCTTCCAACCTGCATCACACAACATAGGATATACTTAAAGGGCAAGTTCACACGGAAATGAACCTAATTTTCTTGTACTTTTTCCACAATAAAAGTGTTAACCTAGAAGTGTCATAGACAAAAATATAAAAATATCACAATTAATTAACATATGTTTTGCATTAAAACGATTCATATTTTTCACATTTACCAAGTGTTCTATTTCCATAACAAAAACACCATGGCTTATGCCCCTTGCAATATGACGTCATTGGTGCCAATTGATAAACATTATGACGTCATCATGCTTTGTTAGAGCCGCTTCACGTGGTGTAGGTACAGGTGTATGATTCTAGCGTCTCAGATGCCAGCCAGCATGGTGTTGTGCTGAGTCACCACTGCGCCGGAGTGTGTCGTAGGCCATGTTGTTTTACCGAAAACTTGTACTTGATATCTTATGCGTTCAGAATAGACAGGGACCAAGTTGAATTGGCACCAATTACGTCATAATCTAAGGGGGATAACTCAGGCCTGTTTAGCTCGAAAAACGAAGGCCTCATAACGGCATATCATTTTCACACTATTGTGAGCTTCCTACTTTCACTGTGAAAAGAATGAGTGTATATTTTCAAATACAGATACTAACTAATTCTAAAATTGCGTTTTGTTTAGAAAAAGAAAGAAAGTGATTTTTGCGTGTACACTTCCCCTTTAAAGACACATCTGTACCACAGACCGCCTCCGTGGTCTAGTGGAAGAGTGGCCGCGTTATACCAAAAGACATGATAAGATGGTACTTGTTGCTACCCTGTCTGACGCTTGGAATCAAGGGGCTAAAACAAGGATTGGCTCTAACCTTCAACTTTGTATTCACGTTGGACAATGGCGATGCTAGACGTCCTGTTTATTGCACCAAGAACCGTAACATTGTACCACGTAGGCCCGGCATTGTGCAAAGGAATGTCCCATTCAACCAAGATGGCTGACTGGTTCTGAGCAGTTAGGCGGATGTTGGTCGGTGGTGCTGGAACTGAATGTTAAAACATAGTGTGAGACCATGCTATGGATAATGATTAAATTGCAAGTGACGTCATAACATTTGATGGGCTTATCATGCCTTTCTCCTTTTAATATACATATCATCATAAATATAGCAACAAGAGATCACGCCCACAAGTGGAATGCTGGTTCCTGATCGGTTATACAGTGTGGGGGAGAGGGAATTTTGCGTTGCATTTATAACTGAGTGAGTGAGTTGGGTTTAACGCCGCTTTTAACATTATTCCAGTTATATCACGGCGTGTCAGCTTAATGTGGGAGGAAATGCCGAAGTGATGCAGGTTCAGACATTTACCACTTCGGTGAAACCCACGAGCACGGGTATGGTGCTGACAAACCTAGAAACATAAGCATTTATTACTGATTTTCTATCGTCATATTCAGATTTATGTTTTAATGATTACAGTAACAGTTTTATTTACATATTTATTTGTAAGAACTGGGGGCGGTCGGATAGCCTAGTGGTTAAAGCGTTCGCTCGTCACGCCAAAGACCCGGGTTCGATTTCCGACATGGGTACAATGTGTAAAGCCCATTTCTGGTGTCCGTCGCCGTGATATTGCTGGAATATTGCTAAAAGCGGCGTAAAGACACTCACTGTAAGAACTGACCACTGATCCGAGTGTTCACACCAGCTTTACGTTCAACGTAAAATATATGGAAGTAAATTCTTAATTAGGCGTAGTAATCAACTATAATGTAAAACTGAAATTTGCTTGACAGGGACCTCAGCAGAAGCCTAAACGTTTTGTTCCTGTTGTTAAAATGTATTAATTATCTCACTTGCTCTGATCTGCGACAGTGAAATAAAACATTCTGTTACAAACGTCTTATATAGGTATTTGTGTATCTTGTCATTATTTGAACACGTAGTCTCTTAACTGTAAACGGTACTGTGTACGTCTCTGCTGATGGGTAGTGTATTCAGTAAAAACGTGGATATTTATAATATATATATATATATATTTACATGTCAATTATATATATATATATATAAATTCACGCTTCTTTCAAACGTTATTGTCAAATACCCACTTTACAAAGATGTAAAACGGGCGTATCACAATATCGTATTTATTATAACAATAATACTTAGACTACATATGTAAATAACCTTTTGGATGTTTCAACCGTAGAATGTTGAACCTGCTCTTAAACGTTTATGACATAAATAACATTCTGATCAGATTGTTTATGTATTGTATGTTGTATATAGCAATACGTACTTCCAATTTGTGTCTTCGCTGTGAGGGTGGAGTTTTCCCCTACGGTGGCCTCGTAAGCAGCCGCGACAGCGACAACGTAGTCTGTGTACGACGTCAGCTTCGCAGTGACGTTGTAAGACATGTCACCATGACATGCAGCAAATGTTGCAGTTGCACCCGCGTAGGTGTCGGTGCAGTGACCCTGGAGATGGTACGGCAAAGATCACCGATTCATGTGTCACACCAATAGCAAGATGAAGAGCCGTGGACGCAACATGGTAAATGTGTAGAAATAATGAAATGGGTGTATACAGTCTGATGCAAATTTTAGCATTATCCCAGTCGTATCATGACGCTGTTATCAAGAATTAAATTTACATGTAGTACCAAAATGAAGAGTTGAACCTTTATCCCAAACGGTATGTGATCCACCGACCCGTTATACGGGAATGAATTATCCTGTACATGGTTTCCAAACATTCATAAAAGGAAACTGTATGTCCTGGCGGACATTTTCAATAACTGCATTTGGACTTTTAAGGGGTTTGCAGTAAGCGAAGACTTTAAAAGCGTTTTCTATGAAGTGTAATATGACCCAAAGAGTGAATACCAGTATTTAGGTAGAGTGAATCAACTTACATTTGTATAAAGTGTATGATTTCGAGAGCATCTGATGTAGTCGGCTTGTGTACATTTGCCCTCCTTGATTATAAAGATCACGTAGTTTGTGAAGGGGATGTTACTTGTTGATGCCGTCCATGACAGACCAATGGCCGAGGATGTCACTAATGTCGTTTTCAAATTGCTGACTTTACCTGGGACTGTATCACTTCCTAGCACCTGGAAACAAATTTTCATTTGTATAACGTTTTCGGGTTTATATTAGATTACATGTCATCTACAGGCATATGTAAAAGAGGAAAATGCAAAGCAAGGTATTTATATTCCACTCTGTAGATTATTGTGTACGTATGAGGCATCTAAGTCAACACTAAATAAAACGTAAGTTTTTATTAAGTACTACCACTTTGGTTATTGTTGCAAGATTCAAACTACATGATGAATGAACATTTTCACACCAGATAATAATAATAATTGTCGAAACATATTCGGATGGGCGTAAAAGGCAAAATTGCGGTGAAAATGATATAAATGGATCACAGTTTGTGAAGACACCAGGTGTTCGCATCAGTAAGACCATATGTTCCCATGTTATTCAGGTGAATAGTTGACTTGCCTTTATATGTGACGGATGCCACAGGTATAGCAGGTTACGCTCACCTTTCACGAACACCTGATATCATTTCTTTTTTAATAGTGTTTCAAAAACACATGCTCATGATACAGTTGGAATGGTACAATCGACTCTGCTTTTAGCAGAAATGTCTTATGGATATGGAAAGGGGTTTTGTCGCTTATAATTACATGTTTGATCAGTTAACTCAAATAGCTATACTGAGAGGATTTATTCTTTGCACTCCTGAGTATCAAACAGGGGATGTCTAGATATACAGAAGGAAATACAGACAAAAAGTAGTGTTGGTAGGTACTTGTATGAGTGAATACGGTAGCAAGGGGTGCATAAAAAATGACGTATCTACATACTCACCAGTGGTACAGATTCCAAAATGAACAGTGTCAACATGAAGCACAATCTCGAATACATGTCCATTGTCAATGGATAATCACTGGGTGCTTCCTATGTTACATTAAGGCGTGATGGAGACTATTGTGACATATTGCACTTCGAGCTTCACTGTGATTGGCGCCCAGGTGGGTGTTGAGAAATACAGTGTAATGTAGGCCATGTCAACAGCTCGTGATAATGTTGCTACGCTGCCGTAAACCTTTATCGATATCAGTGTCACGTGCTGTGTAGTATACACAGTTAATATCTAATCTTATAGTTTACCGTAAAAGCTATTGATTTACTATCCTAAAAGTTTTATGGAACTCAAATACTTCATATCCCATTGATTAAAGATATGTTAACGTTTGATGACAGTAAATATAAAATTAATTAATTGTCAGTTGTCTTTTTAAATATAATTAAAAACGTTCATATGTACCTAATTTATACTTCAGGCATGCCCATTTAACCCTTTTGTTTCAGGAATGCAGATACTACGTTAAAAAGGTGGCATTTCATATCCCTGATATTTCATACCTTGAAAATTCAATATAATTATGGTTTAGGTTTCAACTTTGACTTCAGGATAGCTTTAAGGTTCGTTTCCGTTTAGGTCTCGATGCCTTGGTTGAGCCTACCCCGAAAACGTGGGACATTGCTTCAAAAGCTCAATCATCAAGACTCGATTATTTATAGATCGCTGTTATATATTTTGACTATTACTGAATGCAATGTTTAACAACAAACAAAACGTACAACTGACTGTCGCAATGGGGATAAAGTATTAGTATATGCACATCATTTCGTCACGACCACTTGTCTGGTGGCAAACGCAGTTGTGTTGGAAACGACGGTAATTCGTAGGACATTTCTGGAACAAAACGTTGAAGTCATCACACTGTCCTTCTGTCAAATAAATGCTCCTTCACAAGTATAACATTGTCATTTTCGATTATTGAGGAACCTTTACGTGTTCACATATTCGTTCCGTAAGAAAGCCTTGATTCTCTTGGTAAAATAGTTGTTGCACTTGATTAATTCCTCATGTGTATTTTTCGTATAGAACTTCGTTTCTGTTATTAAACAAGAGGCATCAGAAACTATTTCAAATGTTGTTATTATGACTCTTTAGTAGTAAATTATTTGAAATGATATTATGATCAATAGCTACTATGAACAGTGCATGTCTTATATGACCAAATGAATTGTTTCTCAAATTAATTTATGAGAAAAGGAAAGCAGCATTTTGTTTGATTGAATTTTGTTTGTTTAGATGCCTTGCATATCTCCCCAATGCTTGCTTTAATCCTCTTTTGAAAGATTCGACACTTGAGTCGCACTTTAACCTCTCTTTATTGCTATAGTTTGTTATTCCCGTTTCACATATCCCATCAGCTGACGCCATAAGGTTAATGATGGATTCTCATGTGAAGTCTTCATAAGTGTTGAATTATCACGCCAGGAAAGATACGACCTGAGTTCCAGGTACTGCATAATATATGCATCTTATAATTAAGCCTACACATTAATTTACACTCACAAAGGCACTTCTGTTGCATTGACGTTTGCATCATACGTACCTGGACTATATATTGCCAATCTGGCATGGGATGACGAGATATATCATACACCGTTATCAAGCATGTGATGCCATGGCAAGTGAGTATGGTTGACAAGCATTCATACAGGTATGAGGCAGTGTTTATACAGTTGAGTTGATTGAGATGTAGTTGCACTGGAGTTGAGAAGCCTGTGAATTACACAAAAGGGGTGAAGCCGGCCAACATTGATGTAGTTTTCAAGAGAAGTAACAGCATTCGGAAAACCATTAAAGCCACATGAAAACCGCCATCCAACAAAAAGCAAGAACTATCAGGAGCAGTGTACCACATTCCAAGTATTTGTGGACAAGCTTACATTGGCGAAACATCAAGGCCCCTCAAACCCCGAATTAAAGAAACATCAAACTCAGTCTCCAAAGTTGACTATAAGTCAGCTCTATCAGATCATTTCCGTGACAACCCCAGCCACAGCTTCCACACAACCAACCTAGAAGCCCAGTCGTCTAAGGCGCCGCGATTCGTTGTGCAGAGTTGCGTCCCTTGGCCACGCCAGAAACCTATGATTGTGGGTTCGATTCCCGGTTCGCCCCGATTATGTTTCTAGGTTTGTCAGCACCATACCCGTGCTCGTGGGTTTCATCGAAGTGGTAAACGTCTGAGACTTGCATCACTTCGGGCTTTCCTCCCACATTAAGCTGACACGCCGCGATATAACTGGAATACTGTTAAAAGCGGCGTTAAACCAAACTCACTCACTCACTCACTCAAAATCATAAAACTACAAGAAGTCATCAACATCAACAGACTTCAACCATCAATCAACCTGTTACATACCCCCTACATACCATCAACTCGTCAAAGACTCCAACCAATCATAATTTAGTACAAGCACAGTTTGCGTGGTACCAATCTGCATCGACGTTACGATAATATGGATCACGTGTACGTTTTTGTTTGTCTGTTTGTTGTTTAACGCCTCACTCAGCAATAATCCATCCAAATCAAGCCGACCTGTAAATTATTATAATCGAGTCTATGACACGCAATCAACCACGTCACCAAGCCTGACAACCAGATCCGCCATACTCACATATTCACTCACTCAAATTGCAATGCCTGCATTTGTAACGGGTGAGTCATCAGAGAGTTCATTTTACTATTCACCAATATCCCGACAAGGACACGTGTACCCATGGGGCGAGTCGAACCCGAGTTCGGCATGACGGAAGTAATGTCCTATCAGTTTTATCTTTTTTAAATTTCTTATGTTTTGACATCGCAATGAGACGGAGGCTGGTAGTAACCTTATTGACTGGCGACATGTAACTGGGAAGTCAGAGAGGCTGGTTTAGCAGTATTTCAGTTACATCATGGCGTATCAGCTTGAGGAGGAGAGCCAGAGATTATTGAGGTCTTAGACGTTGAATACGTTGTTGAAAGTTTAACGCAAACGCACTACAGTCCGTTGGCTCCAAATGAAAACGATGATTTGCAAAATAACTAAAAATCGGTAATAGTCTATTTAGAGAAATGTCAATACGGTACACGTCAATGAATACCCCTTACCCAACAATATCTGATGTTTGTTATTGTTATTCCCATCACTGGGTAAAGTTGTCTAATGCTGTTATGTGTAAAAGTTGACATCGTGTACGGAGGGGAGCACAACGGTAGGAGGAACAGCGCAAACACGTACTACACGTGCTACACAACGGTACAGGGAATGACAGCATAAGAGGGAATGGCTCGCTCATGTCACAGGCCTCGTCGTCGGAATGTGCTGATGGTCACAAAAACAGGTGGTACTGTTGCTTGCTGAAGTCCATCACGTGACCAGTATCATGACGCTGCCATATCTCCACTGTTACCCGAAAAAGGCATCCATTTACTAGATTTTCAAAATCCCACCAAACGGACTGTAGTATGGTGCTAATAAACCAAGAAACAAAATCAGGTCGAACTTGATTCCGTGCACGCATATGAATCGAAACTCTGCACGTGTTAGAGGCCTTAGACGACTGAGAGAGCCATTCCCCCAGGAATAAAGTGTGCAGAAAGGTACATAATGCAAGCATGCGGTAGCTACAACGTCTCGTATGGAACAGAATGAGGACTCTTGCAATGTATGACCATCCAGTATTGTAACTTTGTTGACAATATCAAAACCCTAAGCCTGACTCGCCACGATAAAAGTTTCCTTTCTTGCCATTGGTACCCTGTGCTTCTGAGTGTGGGTAGGTTTCTCATGATAGTGTTTCCTGATATGGACTTTTACTACAACTCTGATCTTTTTATGTGTTTGGTCGACTTTGACACTACGTCGACCGTGGTGGCCTCTGTGGGCATCCCGCTTCTAACCCTCGCCATCATCGTCATCTATTCTTGCATGATCTCTGCAGAACTGAAGCGTGGAAAGCGACGTGTGAATATGTAGTGTGAATAAATATTCTTTAGTCTTGTCTAGTTTGCATTGCCTTGAAAAAGATATGTCGGAATCTTTTGGTGTAGGGTCACATTAGTTATGAGTAGTAAGCACTATGTCGAATGACGTCACTCGTAACCGTTGTGTGTCGTATTAATGCGCCACTGCGATCATGACAATAGACAAAATACGCATCGATTCGGTGCTAAAATGATGCAATATTATACACATTATTTTCACCCAGTGAACAATTCTTGTTTTTATATTTTATTATTTTTGTATTCTCTAAACCAACTCACGAATTGGAAATACATTAGGCTCATTTGATAGTTTCTTCTGGCCACATGCGCACGGGTGGCCTTTCGTCTGTTGCTGCAATTCGCTGTGCAGAGGATCGTCCCTTTGGCACGCCAGGAATCTATAATCGTGGGTTCGAATCCCGGTTCCTCCCAATAATACAAGGGGCGTTCAATACGTTTTGCAACTTCAATATAAGACCAAGTCGCAGAATATCTTTTGCACTTTTATTTTTCAATTTAATCTCCATTCACCTCAATACACCTATTCCATTTGTCCTTCAAGATTTTAATACCACTTTTATAGAAATCCGCAGATTGGCCCTTTAACCACGCCCCTGTGGCAGCCTTTATGTCCTCGTCGTCCTGGATGCGTCTGCCACGTGGGGCAGATTTCATTTGCCGGAACAGAAATGGTCACTGGGGGCTAAGTGTGCGCTGTAGGGTGGGCGATTTAACTGTATAGCCCAGAGTAGCCCCCAATGACTATTTCCTGCAAAACGTATTGAACGGCCTCGTATTTCTAGGTTTGTCAGTACCATACCTCGTGGGTTTCACCAAAGTGGTAAGCGTCTGAGACCCGCATCACTTCGGGCTTTACATCTTTTTCACGCTGACACGGTCGGTATAACCGGAATACTGTTCAAAGCGGTGTTAAACTCAGCGCACGCACTCACATGCTCAACCAATCATTTCTATTCCTTTAAACATTTTCTTACAAACTTCTACCGAACCATATAATGACACGCGTGCTTCCTGAATATCCAGCATAATAATTTATTGCATCCTACCATCTGTGGTACTAGTAATTAATGCGTATACTTCTAACCGAACGTTAGTGCAATGTTACACATATCATAAGACATATCAAGTTGGACACGTGAAGATCCGGGATCAAAATAAATACAGTTGGAAATGCTAGAAAAATGCTTTTCATCATTAAATAATATCAAAATAACGCAAACCTATATCTTATCTAGCTTATCCTAACTGACACTGTGATTAGCCCCAAGGTAAAATGATGACAAACTTGGAAAATATTCGTGTGTATTTGTCGTGCGTGTAAGAAACGACCTATAGCCTGAGGTAATTACCTGGCACATGTCCCGAGGTGATGACTACAGACCTGCTCGTGTATTTTCACAGGTACAAATGTCACCTGAGTTGGTAGTGGTCTTAAAATATTACGGTCATTGTACATTATTGAGATGTGCGTTGACGAGGGTAGCCTTTACGATAAGCACGGCATATTATTTGCTTGCAATGATGATGGAATAGTTGAAAGCTAAGAAACGGGATGAGTTTTGGAAGTTTGGGGATTCCGAATCAAGAAGTATTGTTGTTCTACAGATGATTTCTTATGCAAGCATCTGGGTCAGTTGATGATGTTGTGCCGCCAGGACATCTTGTACTTTACTGATTTCTCATTCTGGTGAATTTTCTCAACGAGTTGGACTTTTGTTTCGGATGGTCTGAAGTCGACATTTTAGGATGTCAGATATTCCTACAAAGTCGTCTTCAGACTACTTACGGTTGGTACTACTTATCTGTTTCTCTGACGTAATGAAAAATGGCGTTATCCATGACAATGACGCTCGGGTTGCTTAGATTGGGCAGCAGATCCACACTGACAATGAACTCAATATTCAAAAAGGACAAATACGGTATCGTTCTAGGACAGCTTTATAATGACACTTTGCGTTCTTCAAATGAACTGGCTTTTCGTTCTTGTTTTTTCCCCAGACAGTTTCGCCCTGATGGTCAATCAACCTAACGAGCAAAATGCAGTCGTTCTTTAGGTGAAATACCGCTGGATCTTGCTGAAAGTGGTAAATGAGTATTGTCAAAGAAATATCAACATTTTGAAATAAATAATTAATTAGTTCAAATTACAATGTTTCCTCCTGAATCGTCTTTCTAGTTTTGGGTTATGTTGATGTAAATACTTATAAATATATGAAAGATACTGTTCTGTTACTCCGTAACAAGTTATTTTTAGTGGTATTCACTCACTCCTTTTTAGCGGTATGCATGTGCACTCTTCTGCGTGGAGTTATCTTTTCTTGCGTTCACGTGCAAAATGGTCTCAGAGCAGGCCATGTGTTTGGGTTCTCACCCGGATTCGTTAGGCGATAAACCTCGCAACCCGTAGGCAATCATAGTGTGAGTAATGTCATTACTGTACTACCATTATGCGTATGCTCTTGTCAAATCTGACTTCTCATTCACCATTGTGTATTATCGTCATGTTGTTCGGTAATCTATGTATTGACTCTCACGTCTCGACATTACGTTTCACGTGTATACGCTATATGGAATATAGATATTTTAGTTATTGGCTGTTTTGCTTGTTTCAGCCATAATGATTTACCCTGTACTAGAGTCGAGAACACGTAATACAACCACAGTTAAGCCAGTAACTCGAGTTTATCGTTTCTTGAGGCTCCCGACTCGGGGTTATCTAAACCGCCAGATCCCCTACAGGGGTGAGACGGAACAGGTACGATTTTATGTGAGGAAGTGTCTCCTTCACTGATGCACACGGTTTCGTTATACAGTTATGTGGCTGTAGAATTTGGCCCATTGTCCGAGCCTATGTGGGTACAAGTTGGCTTAGAACCAACGCGCTATGGTGAGTTACGATGTGTCTGTGCCCAATGCAGAATCAACCCGAGCCTTAACGTCTTAATTAATTCTTTGACTTAGCACGCAAAACAGAACGTCGGTGTTTAAGAAGACTGCTAATATATTCCACTCTCATAGAGAAATTGTTTCTGAATTTAATTAAATCAATCTAATTAAAATCACATCTGAGGACAAAGATCTGAGGACATCCCATTAAGGGTCACGTGACGTGATCCGTAATGGGATGTCCTCAGATCTTTGGTTAGCGGTAGCGAAAACTAAGATCTGATTTTAATGAGATTGTAATTAAATCAATCTATTGTTCCAAAGGCGTAAAGTTGTCACTTTGTGTCGCACCCACACACCCTCAACATGTGCGACACCTCACGTGTCAACTCAACCATTGTCTGAAATTATGTTCTACATCTATATCCTAGACGATACGTATGGCACGACATGCTTACCCTTTTCGCGAAACCTGGTGTCATCACCAACTTTCAGTGATTCATGATCATTCATTTAATTGTCACTACTATTATGCCTTATACGTCTAATACAGTCTATATATATGGAGGCAGGTTATTGACATTTTATATTTACGGAACAATAAGGTCAGGAAGGTTACATTGGACATAATCTAATACTCACGAATAGCCAAATAACATATTTGACGTAGAACAAGGTCGGATGGTCAGGCACGACCAGGTCTTTACTTACATTGAGTAATCATAAACGAAGCATGTTTATGTACATGTAGTTTAGATATGGCAAAAGTACTCACTGATAACAAGAGCAATGACAGCGGCAAAGAGGATAGCTATTATTGAACCACATGTGGCTGACACAACTATTAAGTTGTGGGGATCTGCAATGAAACATATGAGGTTAAAATGTCACTCAGTACGTGTAGAAATATCTGAATTCATCATCATGCTTTGTTTGAAACAGCAATTTTGAAAATTCGATATAACAAATGTTTCAGGTTTTAACTTTGACGTCAAGCTATCCATATCCGGCATTCAAACCGTGAATCGGGTGGTCTGGCTCGGTGGCTTGGCGGAGTTACTCTGACAGCGTGGGACATTGCTCATAAGATCAATCACTGGTGTGTGTAATCAAGACTCGATTATTTGCAGGTCGCTGTCATACAGATTGAATATTGCTATGATTATTATTATGTTATAACAAACAGAACATAAAACTGACTATTGCAAAGAGGTAATAGCATCAGTATGTGCGTATTTACCTGTGGTTGACTCAGTTGTGTTGGAAAACGATGGAAAATCGTAGGTCATTTCTGGAACAAAATGTTGAAATCACCACTCTGTCCTGTGTTCCTTCAATAGTATAAACTTTGTCATTTTCGAATATGAAGAAACCTTAACTAGTTATGTTAACATATGAACTGGAATACAAACATTCAATTACTATCATAATTGTATGATTAAATTTAACACAAATGGATTTAAAAAAACTAAAATACTTTAACAGTATATCACAATCCATTCGGTGTTATGACAAGGTTATGTTGTCACGAGGTACACTTACGATCACGGTCTGCTACAAACATTATTGCTGATTTGTTTCCTTGAAATTCAGCATTGGCCCATACCTATGCAAATATGAATTTACGTCAAGGACAGCATACACGAGGAGAGGATATTTATGTGTATAAACTAGTACTGTTAAAGTTTCTGTTGTCAAGTATACTTATTTTTATTGATATTAAGCAATACTTAATTTTGACCTTTTTTACATATAATTCGTTCTATAAGATAGTATATCACGCCGGGATTAGATATGACCGATATTCTAGGTACAAGATCAATGTATCGAAATAACTTAACACTAACAAAGGCACCTTGCATCGTTCGTACCTGGACAATGTACTGCCCATCTGGTATTACGGGCAGATACACCATGTGGTAGTAGGTGCACGAATCCTCAGGGTAGAAGCTCCCGGCCGTCATCGTCATGGATATCTGCATTATGAAGACATACGTCGATATATACATGTAACTGCACACGTCATGAGAAACGTCTATAACAGCTTCTACAGTGATATACCCAGCCCTCACACACTTCCAAACACGATTTAGTGATGTTCTCAATGCTTGTCACAGAAAGCGTCTGACGGGATCGGGCGGTCAGGATCGCGGATTTGTTTGATGCATGGCGTTGTATTCCAATTGCGATTCCGATTATTTATAATTACCAACTGGCGCCACTAAGCTTGCAGCAAACAAGCTTCGCCTGTAGACTCAAACTAAATGCAAACTTGCAAAAGTTCATGTGGGAATATGTATGTACGAACTCATTATAGTGCATATGGCCGTTCGCCAGAAATAAGTATTCCTTGGTTTAAAACGACTGATGTCAGTGCAAAAGGAAACATACTTGAGTTTTGGCACAATTTTTACTATTTTGTAAATGTTGTTTGTTCACATGGAGGAGTGTGATATGTGTCAAACCTTAAGTGATGTGTGTATGTTGTGTTCAGTTATTTCACGGTGGTCTATTAATAATCGAGACTGGATCAACATATACAAGCATCCCTACATCGATGTGGCATTTGTTTTAAGTTTTCTAAATTTCTGATCTTCAATGTGCATCCACTTTCAATTCTGATACATATATTTTCCGTGAAATAAACCATAAAAATGGCCATTAAGAAAACTACCAATGCAATCATTAATACATGGACAATAGAAATGATTATGCAAGATCGTACATATATAGAATGCCAAATTAACAACGGATGCAAAACACAAATTCTACTCCGTGGTCATTGCTAGTTGATAATATAACCAATGCGGATGACTGAGCACTGATTTAATGCAAAAAGTAAGCCAAGTGCTCCGTGCTTAAGTGCCCTACATTGCCTGTGTAGGAGATTGTGTAGCTTGTGATCCTTCCATTCCTCATCTTCTCGGGGGGACATTCCCACGTGAGTTTGATGGCCAGGTACTCACTTGGGACAAAGTTGACGCGGATATCCTGCACTGCACCAGGAGCTAATGTAGAGGAGCCATAACAAGTCATTTCAACCTATTTAAAATTAGGCATATTTAATGACATTAAAAAATCAGGTCGTGTACATGTACAGAAGTTATAGAAAGGTGATTTGAATGGTAATTTCCTTAGTTAGCAATTTGGTTCTGGCATCATTTCAATATATGGTTATTTTGAATGCTTAGGCAATCTCACTTACTAGAAGACAGCGTTCTGACAGCTTTGGATGTTGCCACGTTTGAGGTTCCAGCACTGGTGCTGGCTGTGATGGCAAACCAGTACCTCCAGGAACTCAACAAGTCCGTCACCTCGCAGGAACTGCTATTCTGACCTGCATCACAAAACGGCATAAGTCAAGTCGATATAACAATGGAATACAAAGTTTTAACTGTTCGTGTCACATTTCTTTCTCACAACATAGAACACCCACGAAGACACCACAGTGCACTAAATAAAACAGTAATTTGTAATCGCTCCCCTAGTTTTCAGTCGAGTTCGATTACATGACGCTAAAACTAGCTATCCAATAAAAATTACAAGGTACTTTCACTGAATGCCTTGTTGTCTGCTGTCGCAAATACTAGTATACATTTACATGTATGTGGGGACGACTTGTAATGTCTTAATATTCTGAGAAACATCTTACTGTCGTCGGATATATAAGTACATTTAATATGCCATTTCTCTCTATTTACTTTTATGTACGCTTCTTTTCTCACGCTTACTCCTTGTTGTCGTACCACACAAATAATATACAATAATAATAATATAATAAATACAAACAATAAGAGTTGTCTTTGATAATCTCCTTGGTTTTCAGCCAAACTTCAAAGCGACCAAGGTCAAACTTTGTAGGCAATATCAGCAAGGAGTTATGTTAACTGACAGGAATTCGGAAGACTCGAACCATACCATATCATCCCCTTTTATGTACGCTTCTTGTCTCACTCTTATTCCTGGTTGTTATGCCAGTCTCGTGTGCATTCCTGAGGAGTGACGTGGACACTTTCAAATGTCATTTTATGTCCCACCCCAGTCGAGGATAGACGCAACGTTTTTCCTCTCTCGTTTGGTCATCAATTGATATTGATGTCATATATATGTCACGTAAGATTGTGAGTGAAAGATATGTTTAAGTTCCATATATGTCTATCGTGTATTAAGTTTATTATAACGCAAAATATTAAAATAATTGTTACTTTGTTACTTTTAATTTGTGGCGTCAAAAGAATTCATTGCTACAGCTAATCGATATAAAGTAACAGCTTTAGAATATTGTGTTCAGTCATTTACTTCTTATGAACAATGATACAATATTGTTTTTAAACAATATATTCATATAGCATTTTTATATGCTTAATATTTGTATTTTCTACTTTCACAGATAACATATCCTTTTAACCCCATCTTCACCGCCTCAGTCTACTTAATTAAATCATCGTGACGAGGACCCGCGACATTACAGCTAAATTTACATTGGTTTGATTGGTTCTTGATTTCAAACTGACGAGAATGCCTCTCCAAAATAAGTGATTAGGTACCTTGAGATGATGAGATCAGGTATGGTTGCGAGTGGGTTGAGAGAGTAGTTATTATGATCGAATGCATATTTAAAACACTCATGTCAATCGTTTACATATTGGTATGTTTCTTGTGGTAATGGTTTGAATAAGGTATTGTACATTCTTATTATTACGGACCAAAACTTGAGTGAGTGTTTGGTTTAACGCCGCTTTGAACAGTTTTAAGGTTTCATGACAGCGTGTCAGCTTGGTTTTGTAAGAAAGTCCGAAGTGATGATGTAGGCCATTGACATGTACCACTTTGGTGAAGCCCAGCACAGGCATGGTACTCTCAAACCTTGAAACATATCCATGGAAACCGGGATTCGAACCACGATCGTAGGTTTCCGGCACACCTAAAGGGCTCATCATTGCACAGCGAATTCCAGCGCCTTATACAACGTTGCGACCTTTTATCCCACAAAACCCCAACATGTCACATTCTATATATGTTCGTCTGTTGAATCGTATGTTTCATAATCACGCAGGCTGTTAAAGTCACATGTACCCAAAACAATATAAATTGGTCAAATGGAATACACGCTCTAACCTTCAACTTTGTATTCACGATGGATAAGGCAGGCCCCAGACTCCCTGTCGTATGCGATTAGAACCGTAAGGTTGTACCACATAGGCCCGGCATTGTGGGAAGGAACGTCCCATTCAACCAAGATGGCGGACTGGTTCTGAGCAGTTCCCCGGATGTTGGTCGGCGCTGCTGGAACTGGATGGTAATACGTAGTGTTACTGTGAGACGATAGAAAGACATAGCAACCATTTATGCCTGCAATATCTGGCTACGTGCATTTAAAGCAGTCTTTCATTTACATATTTGATCTAGTTTATGCATTATGTTAACAATCACATGCTGGAGAAATACAAACTTGTATCATGTACTGCTACGGCGTTTAAACATGGCCTTTATTGCAGGTCATTGCTAAACACCAACCTTACCATCATCAACAGATAAATGTTGGTCATACGTATGACAGTAGTTGTTCTGGAGTTTGGTTTCACGTCGAGTTTTGCAATATTTCAGCAAAACTTCAATACTTCGATTATTACAAAGCACAAATCATAATGCACCGTGAAATTAGTTAAAATAATTTCACTTATATCCGTAACCCTCTGGGTAATATGAATAGTGTACCCTATCCCATAGTACCCACAAGTAAACTCGCACTTTGGTCTTCGGGGTTATTGCCAAACGTCTTAACCGCAGCGAAATCCATCCGTCGTTCACACACGAGTATGAAATTATCATATCATATAACTTAGATAACAAATGGGTGTCATTTTCAAATTTGAAACTCATTTTGGCGACTGTTCAAATGTCACTGTGTTTTATTAAGTGGGTCAAAGTTACATCCCAATACAAAAAAGCATTCTAATTATAAAGACCTACGTATAGAATAACCACGGTCTACAATTCATTGCAATACTTACTACCAATATGGGTCTTCTCTGTGAGTGTTGAGTTTTCCCCTATTGTGGACGTTGCTGCAGCGGCAACAATAACAGCGTATTCTGTGTTCGACTCCAGCTTAGTCACGTTGTAAGACATGTTACCATGGCATTGATCATATGTCGCAGTCACGCCAGCGTAATTGTAAGCGCAGTGGACCTGGCGACGACACAAGAGTCAACACAATAAATACATACATAACGTATAACGCACCGACCATTAAAACTTCCAGCCATGTAATATTGTCAGCGCAGTGGACCTGGCGACGACACAAGAGTCAACACAATAAATACATACATAACGTATAACGCACCGACCATTAAAACTTCCAGCCATGTAATATTGTAAGCGCAGTGGACCTGGCGACGACACAAGAGTCAACACAATAAATACATACATAACGTATAACGCACCGACCATTAAAACTTCTAGCCATGTAATATTGTTACCCCCCCCCTCCCCCCCCCCCCCCCCCTCCACACACACACACACACGGATAATCAATTGGTCGATCACATAGTGTATAGATAAACAATGAAATCACTATAACGAGGACGGTACCCTAATTGTCCTGGCCAGCAAATATCCATATATGAAGGAATCTTTTCCGAAAGGTAGTCGGCCAGATCCCTGTCTGAGGTCCGCATTAATTGGCTATCACTGTGTGTGTTGTATTAAAAGCAATATATAGTAAACTATGCAATAGGTCAGTGAGGTCGCAAATATAGCATCACCTCACATAATTTCCGTTGTAATTTTCGACCAAAGATGGAAATAATAATATTACGTATTTTGACACTGTGTACAGTTTGCAAAATTAATATAATTATGATAGCGGATATTGATCAGATAAAGGCATCTTTGAATGTTATCATTGAATACTTTTCAAATCATCCATAGATAATCGTCCTGCGATATTTATATATATTTTTTAAGATTTTCTTATTTTTAAGATTATTGGATCAGTCTAGATCACAAATGAAAGCCTTGTTCTCAAAAGGGTTATGTGACTACATGTGTGAAATAACCAAACTCTGAATTCACTTACAGGTGCATATATACTATCATTTGGAGGGCAGAGGATGTAGACTGCTTGCACACATTCGCCTCCCTTGCTTATGAAGACGTCGTACTGGGTGAATGGGATACCACTTGTTGATGCCGTCCACGACAGACCAATAGACGAGGATGTCGTCACTGTGGTCTTCAAATTGTTGACTTTACCTGGGACTTAAAATATGTCAGTCTGAATTACTTCCTATCAAAGTATGAATCGGGTTGTGTGTGTGTGTGTGTGCGTGCGTGCGTGCGTGCGTGCGTGCGTGCGTGCGTGCGTGCGCGTGTGTGTGTGTATGTATATGTATGTATGTGACAAGACATACCAAACTCTGGCGTAGAGGTAGTGGCTGCCTCTGTTGTCGAAGAATCTGTAGTTGATGCCTGAAATACGCATAAATGGTGTAGGTGTGTGTTAAACAGATGTGAGGTGGAAGGAGGTAAACGTCGCGTTCAACATTATTTCATTTATAAATGTATGCCCATTTTCTAGTACTCAGCCCAATGTGCTACCATGCTGCAGATTAACATTGATACTCCACTCAGACTCATCCTTTTGCCAACGTTGCCAGGGGATCGAACCATTGAGCCTCCGCTCTCCAAGCAGACGCTATATCCACTAATCCACTGAGGATGTTGGTACACAGAGAAACATTGGGGTGACACATCATTTGCAGAAGGAAATAAGAAAGAATGTAATATGAATGTAGCTTTTGTTTGACATGATATCAAGTAGGGTTTGTTGTTCAACGAAACACTCAGCTATTTCCCAGGTATTTTACGGCAGCTGTAAATAACCGTGTTTGTCCAAGACATACCAGTGATGATAATGACACGGGACCATAGGGAAATATAATGTAAGCTGCGCTTATCATTTTCCAGGTGTTAATGTCATTTCTACTCATGTCAGTTCGTACATGCGAAATACATGAAATACACGTGTTAGCAGCACGTGAAGGACGTCCAGGAAGAGGAACAATAGTATACAAAACATTGTCGGCCTGGCAGTCATCTGTCCCTTTTTATCTCTTTAAGGGTTCAGCCAGAAGCGATGCAGGTCAAGAGCACTGATATGGTGTTGGTAAACCTAGCAACAACCTCAGGTCGAACGGGATTCGCAACCACAATCATAGGTTTCAGGCATTCATACAGGGGACGAAATTGCGTGGCCTTAGACGACTGGGCGGCCGATTACCTCCGCAGACAAGTGTACATGAAGTAATGTGAGTAGGTGCTGTAGCTGCAGGACCTCGCTTGTCTAGGAAGGTTTACGTTGGATCTAAACACTCACCGGAAGTACAGATCCAAAACTGATAGCTGCCAACATGAAATACCATCTTGAAACTACATGTATGTCCATTGTGAATGAATGCTACCGGGCTCTGGGATCAGATGTGGGATGTAAGGTGTGACAAGGACTACTGTGAGGAGATTTACACTGGATGACCAGCCAAGACAGGGCAATGTGTCATGTCAACAGCTGATAAGCCGGCGATAGTGTTGTCGCGCATCAATATCAGTATCTAACAAGCGAGAAATATGAAAACTTTCTGCTTAACGCAGGGTCCATTGTATTATTCCGACTATATATCATAAACATGCGTTTATGAATGACTATGAAATAATGATGACACGCGGTGACCGCGAAAAGATGAGCGTATCCTACCCACCGACGTCCTCCCGTCACACACACGCACACACGCACGCGCACACACACACACACACACACACACACACAAACACATAAGCAAGTAAACAATTGTCAACTATCGATAATATTTACCATCAGATAATATCTATTTCAGTTTTTATAAGTAAGCATTAATCTTCAATTCAGTTGGCATTTTGGGGACGTAAATGGTAGGGAATCGGGTTTTTGGTTGGAGGGGGAGGGGGATTCTAGGAATTTGTTTTTGACTTTTATTATGTTTTCTGTCGGGCGCTGCTACCAAAACGCATTTGTCTTGTGACAGGAGGAGCCAAACAATGTTTATGTCACAAAATATAACTTTTGCCGGTTTTCGGCATCTCCATCATTCCCCTCCAGTTTATCAAATATCAAATTGCCGCTCCATTAAGAATGAATGGCAGGACATTATTACTTACAAAGAAATAATTGTTGAAGAAGATTACAATTTGAATGTCTCATTTATCATTATTTAACGTTCGGCCCAGTACCATTCAGAAACTGTGCCTTAACGTGTGAGTGTTGCTTGTCAAATAAATCGAAGTTGAGAGCAAAATGCACTGACATTCTATCACGTTCAAGCCTTGTTGTCGCTACTTGAGATACACGATACAATTTCACAAATGAAGTACATATATATGTGCTATCATGTGTCAGCTATCAATCACAAGCAGTGGGCGACAGTTCACGTTATCATTGGATCAAAGTATCAAATTGAATATACTTTCGCCAGCACTTCGTATCATCACTACTTTAATAGTGATTAATATATATGTCTATGATGAAGTTGGAATAGTACAAAGGACTCTGGTTATCAATAAGGAAGAGTTTTGCTGTTTTTATTTTTCTACATGTGATCACATTGACGGGTTGTGGACTGTTCAGCTGTGAGTGTACAAAGACACTTTTCGTAAATATATTCTAGTATTCGAATGTTATGTTTCGCCACTCTGTGAAAATGTGAAAGTTTGCAAGGGCAGATGGGTCATTAACCTTCATGACTAACTAAGTGATACTGTAATATACTGAACAGCATTGAAAACGCACCACCATGAAAATGGATGTATTTTTATCCGGGCTTATGTCATATGAAAATATATAATTGAATGAGTAATATACGACGTTCTGGACGAAGCATGAAGTGTACATGTGTGTTTCAATAATGTTTTTGTATTAGATAATTAATAATACCATGCCACTGGGGTTCATGTGGGCTCCATTTCAGCCTTTTCAAAAGATGCAGTCACATAACGTACTTTGCTTGAGCTATGTTTCACATAGGGGAGAATAAGTTTGTCAAAGAATGTTCGAGATGTTAGGAGATAAGACAAAGTTTATTTCAAAAACTTTAAATTTTGAGAAAATAATTGAAATAACGTGAAAAAAATGAAATTTCGAGTATTTGAAATATACTTGAAATAACGAGAAAAAACATCGAAGTAACGAACAAAAAAATCGAAATTTCGAGTTTTTGAGATAATCTTGAAATAACGAGAAAATATTGTATAAAATCTCGAAATTACGAGAAAATAATCAAAGTAACGAGAAAACTCATCGAAGCAACGAGAAAAAAATCGAAATTTCGAGTATTTGAGATAAACTTGAAATAACGAGAACATATTCGGAGTATCTAGGAAGAACTCGAAATTTCGAGAAAACAATTGAAATAACGATAATACACTGTCAGTAAACTACGGTTATAACGAACACGCTTATAACGAACTGACGGATATAACGAACTTACTTTTTGTTCCCGACAACTTGCTGTAGTCATGCTGTATATGTACTTATAACGAACTACGGTTATAACGAACTAAAATTAGTAGTCCCTTTGAGTTCGTTATAACCGTAGTTAACTGTAATTTAAGAAAACCCCGTAATGCTCCCAAAGTGGCTCCATTTGACTTTCGTACGTTGAACCTTATCAAATCGAATTTTGATTCAAAGAGACCACTAAGGGACACAACGCAGCTGCAAATTTGGACAACTGGGCAACTCGTTTTCCCATTTTAGTCGCAAAGTTATTGTCATAATACATTTGTCGAGAAATATAAGCATACTTTAACACACACGGCAGTGGGTTATGTTCTGCAAATGAAGCGGCATATAAATCCACGTTTTCTGCTTGAAGCTGTCCTGTTTGTTCAAAAGGGAAATAATTGATTCAGCTCTGTTCAGCCCGTGCACGTATCTTGGATTATTTGCGACCACTGATCAGCATTTGATAAAGTATTCAAAATATAATCATTACATAATTTAAGCATACTACAAATTGTTTTTAATTAAACTGAAAAAATCACAGGGGATGCAAATGAAACTGTGGGGAGATTCAAGGCGCTCTGCTGACATATGTGAAAGACATCAAGTTCTTGCAAAAAATATTCACTGAGTGACATGATCCTTGAAAAAAAGACAGCGGGAATGGAAATGAGCTTTTTATTAGCACAGAAACGTGACTAGAAATGGCATTAACCAGAAACATTCCTTAATTTGCATTGATGTGATTTTGTTGAGATACAGTGCTGAACGCAGTGTGCATGACGAGTAGGATTGTATCCTTATCGCTTGCATATGTACAGTTAAAAATGAATTTTCCTGTCCAGAAGAGGCAGTAGCCTTGTGGTCTTTGGTTCTGCAATTCACTGTGCAGAGTGGCGTCCCTTAGTAGTAGCAGGATCCTGTGATCGCATGTCTAATTCCAGATTCGTCTTGATAATAACCCTAGTTAAGTGGTAGACGCGTACAACCTGTGTCACGTCCGGCTGGAATATGTTCCAAAGCGGCGTACAAACTTAAAGAAAACGTATTCAGTATGGTATATGAAGAGAGGGCACACATTTGCCAATGATACGTAGCATAGTTCTCTGATTAGTATTTAACAAATACGCAAATGGTGTTTGCCGCCTTGGGGCGTGTCTTTGATAACAGATGTAAAAGAGTTATTTAGACAAATGAATTTAAACTGGTCATATCATTGCTGTTTCGTAATGGATCCAAATTATACTCATTTGAAATCGGTAACATAGTATATGCATACTATTTCTTTGGAATAATATATATGCATGTAATTATGGTGAATTATAAGCAATTGCTATATTAACAGTCGTGGTATTCAAAAAACACATTTCCAATTTCGCAAAATCTGACATCTGTGAAGTAAGCCCAGTTGTTCTCATTAGCTTGCGGGGGCACGGGTGACCCAGTCGTCTAAGGCGCCGCGATTCGTTGTGCAGAGTTGCGTCCCTTGGGCACGCCAGAAACCTATGATTGTGGGTTCGAATCCCGTTTCGCCCCGATTAAGTTTCTAGGTTTGTCAGCACCATACCCGTGCTCGTGGGTTTCACCGAAGTGGTAAACGTCTGAGACCTGCATCACTTCGGGCTTTCCTCCCACATTAAGCTGACACGCCGTGATATAACTGGAATAATGTTAAAAGCGGCGTTAAATCCAACTCACTCACTCATTAGCTTGAAATCCTTTTCATTGGAGCCATTGTCCTGCAAAGTTACAGGGAGAGC